GATGAGAGTCGCACGCTGAAGCCACTAGGCCAACACTGCTCCTATGTACCTTATAATGATTATCTTGTATGCACAAAAAATATTTTTATTAAAAACATCTTATAATACCAAAGAACTAGTGTCACCGTTTTGACACATTATAAGTATGTGGTATGGTTGTTTAATTACATCTATATATTTACCTTAATCTTCCTTTGTTATCTATGAACGAACACGCCATATAATATGGCTATAACAAACAATGATGCCCAACATTAAATTTACATACACCGTGTGTAATAATAATAATCGTTATTCACAGGTGAAAGGTAACTGACATAATATTTTACAACCATAAAATCTATTTTGGTCCATCACGTAATGATAATGATATTTTGAACTACACTTTCCTTTTTCAAATATAATTTTAGAATAATGGACTTCCATGAACTTCTTGCCATATGGTGAGGTCTAGTACATTTCATACTATCAGATTTTGAACTGGCACACTTCCTCTACTTTTTTATAATACCAAATCCCATAGCAGCGATACTTTTAAATAAAAGCTATCGAGTTACATAAGTAATGTATTTCCTTAAAGGTTTTATTTAAATGAACTACAAGGAAGTTAGCTCAATTTTACGTTAGGTTTCAAACTTAATATAGAGATAGTATGTTTAAAATGGAATTAAGTTTAGAATTTTATTCTTAAAACAGATCACTTTCATGAAAAAAAACATATCAAAAACGTAAGACTAAATCATGTTGCTGTTGTATTAATTCATCAAAGTATATAAACCAAAAACCTTCCAGGTCCACTGGGGTCACTATTTCCCGCAACACCGGAGGCAGGCTTTTGTAAAAATTCTCACCGAAGTTATATTTGTGCGATCTGATTTAAATAGATGAATAATAATTAGTGTTAAACCGGCAACAATTGAACTTCTTAAAATCCTTGTATTTATTTGACTTAAATGCATCCATCAGTCAGGAAACACACTTATTAAGCACTTAAATTGTATAAATGTTGTCACCACGCATGGTAGCACGCGAAATTTTAAACATTAAATATTATATCTTTTACGAGCTGGGTGAGAAAATACGCTTTCACGAAGTTAAAACAATTGTGTAGAACAATGATCTTCGAAGCCCGGCTTTGTGATCCAAGTTAAAATGAATCCACTCGTGAGGTTTACGAAAACTAATAGTACAAACACGAAACAAACATTAGCTCTCATTGTATACTCATCGATTTCTACTAAATGTAATTAATGTGTTGAATTTCTGCTATTATTAAAGTATGGTGTACCACAAGGACTTATACTGATACCAAAATTATTTAAACAAACTAAATTACTTGAAACCTTAAAGATTAAAAATAAGTAGGTAATATCAAATTCAAATTTTGTGACGTTGCATGTTATTTAATAGGACAACATACAGTGTTTATCATAAATTATGACTGTAGAAATGAAGATAACATAGCGATATTTATTAACGGAATTATATTATTTTTTCCTGGAAGCTTACAGGTTTTTGCACGTTGAAACCTATCTCATTGTAATAATAATTTCGTTTGCGGATTATAAAATTATAATATCGACAAACAATGTCCTCGTAAAAAATATTGTAGTTATAAAACCCCTCAAGCGGAATATACAAACAAATCTAGATTTTTGTTTGTAACAATCAAACGCGCAGGAGGCTCACCTTATGTTAAGTGACACTGCCGCCCATACACATTGCCAGAGGGCTCGCAAGTGCGTTGCCGACCTTTTGAGGATTTCAATGAATTATCTTTACGCTTTCGCTTATAATAATAACCGGATAATTTTTCGCTGTATTATTTGTTGCTGTTCAAAATATGTATTTATCTTTACATATTACAAAAGTCCTCCGGGAGAATTTATATGGTTACAATGAAGATTGTGTGACTCCTGAAGAATGTTTAGGCAAATTAACAAACAATAATTAATTGCTTTACACGGCTGAACATTTATGATACATTTAGCTTATCGATAGATTACAATCTACCGAATAATAATACGTTAAATTGTAAGCAGTTCGTTGAGGTTCACAATCTTTCGACAGTTTATAATCTCGCGAGATAGATTACAATCTAACGGTATTTACAATTTTACGTTAACATATATATATTCATATATTTATTATATCTTAATATTAACATTTATTTCCAACACACAAATATACAGTATTAACAATGGCCCTCCCAGAGCTTTCCTCGCTCAACGAATAAGTATCCCAATACAGCGGGGAAATGCCGCCAACATTAGAGGTACATTGCCACGGGGACCAAACTTTGTTAAATTTGTTTTAATTTTCTATTTATTATATTATATTAGTGTAGATTATCGTTGAAGAGATCGCAAATGTTCCCTAACACGAAATCCACGCGGGTGAAGTCGAGGAAGCTATTATATAATTATAGATTCTTAGTTTCTTACCGGTAAATATTAAATGACTTTGCACAACTGTCACATTTCTCTTTTCTGATATGACATAAATTTTGTTCATGTCATTGTTTGTGTGGCATAACTTTCGTAATATACTCGAAATTATGAACTCGTATTGTCTTATTCGACGCCATAGTAAACATAGACTAAACAATGGTAAAAATTGTAAGCTTGGTATGAAAAGGTATCAAATTGTTATGATTGTAATTATATTAAAAATCGCTGATTTGATCTCACTTTAACAAGATTTTATTCTAAAGATTCGAAACGGAGTAGCTACATATTAATTTATGTTCTCTTTTTTTAATGATTAATATTTAATAAAAGAGTATTTTTATAGAATATATTAAGTCGGTGATAGAAAAGATTTTTTTTTTTAAACAATTAATCTGGTATAAAATATATTTGATTACACAAAAGTAATAAATGTTATCTTTAAATTATGATAACACGCCCTCAAAAGATAAAATTCCCAGAATCCCAACTTACCGTAGACACAGCCATTTCCGTATGTTTTCTCACTATATATTGTTCATCACTTGCACCCACTCACTTGTTAACTAGTACTTATCACATAACGTGTTATCAGTGTACGCTCTGAAGAGACATAAGTTCGAGTAAAGCACGAAAAACTCAACGGTTCCCACGCAAGAGAAATGCGTTAAACGAACAATGGTGGAGGCTGCGCGTAAGTCGAAAGGTGGGCAAAAAGTGAATGAGTGCAAGGTGAAGCGATGCGCACGAGTCGAACGGGCGGGGATTTTTACCTGCTGACCTATTTCGTTACTGGAAACCAACCCTTGACCAACATAAGTCAATATTTCGGTTTTATTTTAATCATTTACAAGCGAGTTAATTTATTACGGGTAATTAATCCCCTGAAATAATTCTGGTACATTTTGGCGTCTGTTCATTGAAATATTTTTCATAGAAAACTATACCCAATGTTTCACCGCTTCTATAAATATCCCAATCCCATCTCATAACTCTTCCTTTAAGGTCTCTGCATTGAGGCTATGGAATTAACTTCCCGTCCCTATCCGCTTTAAGCTCCTTCTCTATCTTCCTTTAAAAGTCTACAAGTACAAGCATTATCTGTCCACATCGAATCCCTAACTTTAGTACAAACTGATCAGCAATTATCGTGATTCATGTGCACAATTTTTTTTTCACGTGTCTTTTTTCTACGATTGTCCTTTTCACTGTTTTGCCATTAGATTTGTGTCAATAACTACATATACGTCTTATGTATTTTTTTCACATGCAACTGGAAGAGATGGATCGAAAGCGATATGGCCGCCAGTTGCCTCTTTCTAGTTGCCTAGTTCTTTTTATTTAATTATGTTAAATACATGCAACGAAGTATTAAGAAATAATTACTTCGGAAATATTAATCCTGATGAATAAGCGTATTACAACTTAACGCTTGAACAATTGGTGGTAAATCCACACAGATGGTCATAACATAATACATAAATGTAAAAGTATTGTATCTACGTGTCTATGTTCGTTCTTTACCATTTTCTATTACCTTCTTATCTATGTTTGTGTAAACAACATTCTGAACAAGACACCACCAACCCCTTGCGTCAGAAATCAATCCAGAAAGATACCTACCAAACCTGTACTTATCTTATCAATCTATTTGACCAAGAAAGTTACATTATTTCTGGGAAACTTAATTTAATGCCGAATAATTGTTAAATATATTTTGTTGTTAGTTACCGCTCGCTTTTATAGAACAGGGGGCAAACAGGCAGGAGGCTCACCTGCCGTTAAGTGATCCAGACGCCCATGGACACTCTCAATATCAGAGAGTTCGTGAGTGCGTTGCCGGCCTTTAAATAACCTATATATATACAGAACCTAGATAAAGTTGTTCCCCTCACATTTTCAAATTAATTGTCCTTTAGTTTTTATATGTTATATTTATATTTTGTGTATGTTATATTTGCCTATAAGTTCTTGTCACATTAAATATTGTATTTTATTTCTTGTACCAATGTATCACTGTGCCGAGCGTTTGCAAGCTTTTATAAATAAACCTACTTTTTATTAATAATATGTGCGGCCGATACAAAGTTCCATGCAAAGGACTAAACAAAAGTCTTATAAAGTATATTTGAGTCACCTAAAAGGCTTTGAATGCTGTTTGAGCTTTTTAAGTATGTCGGGAGTGTCAGTTTTGAGGACTTCGCCGCAATTAAGGCTCTACAAATATAACAATCGTGACGTGATTGAACAGGAATGTGTGGGGTCGTGAACTCATTTGAAAATATTTATCTTCAAACAGTTTTACCTCGTTTTAAAAGATGGCGTAAAGGGCGTTAAAACGAAGATGTTTTATAATTATTCTTTTAAATGGCTTTTGAACTTTTGTTTTGGTTGCAACCAGCTTAGTTGAAATTCAGCGTTAGTACTAGTCATAGTTATTTAAAAAACCACTACGACTACTTGAATTTATTTAAGTATATTAAATCATTTATTATACTTTATAAACGTTAAAAGAATTAGGATTGTAATATTAAACGCTACAGTTTTAAGAAAATGCTTCAACAGTATACTGCACCGATATTGGTAAGGTTTGGCAATTACTTTAGATAAAAAAAAATCTTTGCAAAGTCGCCCATATAATCAGTAATACTCAGGATATATTACTCAGGGATAATGGAGCATTCTAATGATGTATACATTCATGATATCGGACTAGTAGTTTTTGAGTTAATTCTAATAACTAGACTTTATTAGTATAGAAAGTGTACGAACAAAATACCGGAATTACACGCGTCATAGTAAAATTATAAACAAATCTTAGACAAGATAATCTTCTGCCTTCCTTACTTGCACTTTCCTTATTACCGTTTGTACATTCTGTCACGATATATGATGCATGATTACTAAACTGCGTTTTTACATTATTTACGATATGTTCCGTGCAGACAATGTTTTACGGAAGACGTGTCGTCCGCGTTACATTCGTATACATAACATTATTTCCATTCATTAATCATTGTAATTTTCTACAGATAGAGATCTATTTCGATTATGTCAGCTGTCAAGTATCGATTATTTTTTGATTGACATTTCATTCAGACTCTGGGAGTTCTATGGAATGATAGAACTGGTTTTTGACACCTCTAAAAGTGTTTTTTTTTGTTCTAGTCACGTATCCTTATAATCGTTTATGTAATTACGTCGTACAAATCAGATTTGTCAAAAATATGGTTTATATAATTTTTCACATGTTGAAAACGTATTGAAAACGTATTTCTATAATATTTTTTGGATATCCCTTTAAAAAGTAATTTTTAACCAAAAATTACTAATATTAGAATTTTCTTTTCTTTTTTGATCATTTAATATCGAAACAGTACTCCATGTGGGGCCGAATTAGACATAGAAATTACGAACAATCAAGGAACTAAAATATAGGCAAAACTGTGAAAATTAAACGCAAATTTTAAATAAAACCTTACTAACAAGATAGGGTATTAAATTACGCCGTATGCATTAAAACTTTGCATGCGATGTTATTTAGTGAAATTGTACAATTTCGTTGCGAAGTGGACAGTTTACTAATCAGATACTTTGCGAAAGCTATACTGATTCCGTTCACGTATACTTGAGAAACTTTTACTTGTATTTGCCTGCTATTGACGGGTTGTTAAGTAAAATTATGCTTATTACGAAACTCAATTGCGTATTTAATGTATGAATTAATCTATTAATCAATAATTTTTACGAAAGTAACCGTGAATCAGTTTTAAAGTTTTTTTTAATATTGCTTCGATTCAATTTATAGTTTTACACGTTTTATTATGACATGTTTTCATGGATTACGTGAACTGTCGCGGACCGTGTTCAAAATCTTTAGATTTGCTCTGTTTTCTAAGTTATTAGTCTTTATAAATGTTAGAATTTCATAGATTTTTTATTATTATGTTTGGTAACTGTTTACTTTAGCTCAGCATTGAATGAATCAATCCTGGTACACTAACATACTGATGTCTAAGCCAAGCGAACACAGTAATTTTAAGGTTATCTTGTAGAAATTTGTGGGTTACTGTTGTCGTGTTTAATAAAACTGCTTTTTAAAGGATGATCTAAATACATGGATTATTATTATATAAGGTATAAATTAAGTTTCGCACTTTTGCACTTCTTCACAATTCTTTTTTTTACTGTTTGGTTTGGGTTGTAAGAAACAAGAATCTGGTAGGGACCGCTCAAAAGCGATAAGGCTGTTGCGCCAAGGTATTTTTAAAGTTTATTGTCAAAGTAATTATTTCATTCCTGTGCATACAAGGGTAAATCAATAAATAAATATCGCAAAATATATTAGTTTAACATATGATTTGTATTAAAATATCATTAATGCTTAAAATGTTGTCTTTGAAATCTTCCGGTATTTCTTAACTCCGCATTGCTGACAAAAATATATATAAAAATCAATCAATAAGAATTTTAAGACACGCTAGTGAAAGCGTACATCATACTCACGATAGCGGATTAAAGTACGCACAAGAATGTAATGGAGTCGATACAAACTATATTTTTACATATAATAAATTATATACTAAAATTTTCACTGCTATAGCATGTTTCCCATATACGGTTTTATTTAGCCCCGTTTGGGTCAAACCTATTAATTTAAATTTGACCCCTTCCTGTTGACGAATTGATCTGAAATTTGGTACGCACGTTTAGTTTGGATTACAATATAATTCGGTATCTTTGTAAATCCAAGATGGCCGCCGCAACAAAATGACGGAATACAATTTTATACCTATTCCCTCAATGTATGTATGTATATGGCCGGCAACAAGAGGGCAGGTTCATTTTTCTTTTTTACAACTCCTTCAATATGAGTAACAAATAAAAGGTCTTGACTAGTGTAGATCACAGAAGATTCACCTAGTCTAAAAACACTTATCAAATAAACCTATAGAAAACACAAGAAAATTTTAATAAATCAAAATAATAAACAGAATCGAAATAATATAGCACAAGGCGACTCTACAGCTTTCATTTCTGTAACGGAAGCAACAATTAAGAATTATGTACTTGATGGCATTGAAAACAATAACATCGGGGACGGTCTCATGCTCGTTTCCCCGACAATTCACAACTTTTTACAATGTTCTACTAAAATTAAATATGTTTTATGTATTTATAAAGACAAGCGAGTGTATGATCTTTTAATTATTTTATTTAGTTATTTATGTCCGAGGGCAGAGATCTCGAAGGTACTGGCTTCATCCTTCATATTTTCATTAAAAGCAGACGATTTCACAGGAATCCAACCAAAAACGCGTCTTATGCGGGATAAAAGGCGTTCTACATATTATTGTGTATTATTTTCGTCCGTATTTGGTATTCAATTATGCATTTAAAATTAAGATTAAATTAAAATTCAAATAAAAAAAAGGGTGCGTGTACTTATGTACGCGCGTAAGAAGTTATACTTCTTTGGCATTATTAAAAATAGTTTTTGATTGCATGCAAATAATTAATTACAATTAAATAATCAAAGACTGGAAAAGGAGTCACTATAGTCAATTAAGTTCAGTTTACATTTGAAAAATTAAATAAATAATTATTTATTATTATTCTCTTACATTAAGTGTAACATAAATTCTATTTAGTTAAAAGTATATATAATTATATATTTAGAACATCTCTACCAAACACTAAGAAGTATGTTGTAGCTTTGGCAGTATTGCACAATATAAAATTAATAAATTTCTTTGAAAAATTAATCAAAACTCCTTTATTTGTTTAAAAGGTAAATGACAAATGTCATTATGGTAATTCAAAATTCTTGGCATACGAACTTCACGCATATTCTATTTCTTTTTACTTGTAGATTGTCTTATTCCTATCTCGCTCGCGCACGCTATAATCACACTCCGAATTTTGTGTCACAGGTGCGCGCGCATCGTAAAATTTCACTCTCATAAATTTTTCATAACGCGCCTAAAGAAGTATAACTTCAAAAATAACAATAATTTATTCATTTAGTACACTTATGAACGTCAATAAAGAAATACATATTAAATGCTAACTGCTTCTAATTATACACTTACTGCCAGTTCTCAAATCAAGGGCGTAGAACGGACAAGAAGAACTGGCAATAAACTCTCCGTCACTCTTTTAAATAGCAGTGTTTTTTTGTTTTACACAATGTTTGTAAGGAGCTGCAAGCATTACACCATGTTCCAAATGACATCTTAAATAATTAAGAGTTAATTAATAATAAAAAAATATTAAAATCAAAGATTTGTCCTCTATCAGCAGTAAGCATGGTGAAATAGGAGCACGCACTTACATTCTCTTGGGAACAACACGCAAAATACATACTTAGTCGAAATAACTAACATCACCGCATACACGAATTCAAGTCCGACCAGTCACCACAAGTAGCACCCATTCACGAGTATGACGCATCCATCAGTATGGCCAGCCATCGGCCATATTTTGGCGTATTAAACGGGATGACGAATTTTATTAAGTGTTAATATAATATGTCCGAAGTTGGGATTGTGTAACATTTTACGTTTTTACTAAACCCGCTTAATACGCCTTCTCTTTTTTCTATTTTCTTCTCTCTTTCTTCATTCTCTTTTTTATATATTACTAGCTGCCGCTAACTTCGTTTTGCCTTAATATAATATTTTTCACACCCTACCTTTTTAGTACCAACATGTAACAATTATCTATGCTCTACTATGAGACCTCTAACTTTTTCAGAATATAAACCTAGAAATATTTATAATAAATATTTTCCAATTATTGTCTTCAAAAAAATAATTCCAGGGTTACGATAAAAAAATACAGCATAACTATTATTATTGAATGATTATTTTGCGATTCATTTTTATTTATATAGACGATCTATTCAGTATGGAGGTTTTAAGTCAAAGTCCATTCACAACAGTTTGTCAATGTCAAGTTGACTTTGTTTGTAATGGTTATGTTAATCAATAAGAACTACAAGAAATGTGATGAATGTATTTAATAAAATGCTTTCTCCTTTATCAGTACGTATTAAACTCGCTTATAAACAAATGTAACACTGTAAAGAATTATCAAGTAAGACGCATTAATGATACAACATACTTAGTAACATGTTATCCAGAAATAGATTGTTTAGATTTCGAGAGCCAAATTGTCCCCGTAAACGACAAACGGTATACGGCGTTTGTCAATACATGGCGAGAACCGACAACTATAACAGTCGGGGAGAAACCAAAGCATAAACCACCTTCAGCCTCTTTTATAACTAAAGTTCGGGAGAATTATTTTCGTCATTTCTTTGCTACGAAGAAAACGCCGACGCCTACTGACGTAGATAACATGTATGACGCATTTTCACTTGATCGTAATCTTCAGAAGGCAAGACGTTTAGCTTCTTTACTAAAGGCAGAGGTCCCAAAAGATGTGATCCAAAATTCGGAAGTAAAAATTCTCCGGAAGAGGGGAAAACGTCCTTTTTAAATACACTTTAGATTGTATATAGAAGTTTTAGAATAAAGATATTTGATTTTTCTTTGACATTATTACGTATAACACTATTCTTTAATTTATAAGCTAGTATCTATTCATGAAGGGCATCGATAATTAGATGAGCTTGTACAGATTCCGGAGTTTGGATTAAAAACAGAGGAGGATGGGCATGTATATGGATACGGTACAATGGACCCATCTGACGCTCCGATGCACAAAAAGTACTTCTGACAGGTAGTGTCTGAAGTGTCAGCTATACGCCCTACTTTATTACATGAAGCTGGACGGCGATCATTCGTAGAATCGCACTTATATTTGTTAGAACAAGCGGCAATTGCAGGGTCGAATAGCGTCTTTTCAGGACAGGAAAAGTTGTATGATTGGTAAGAACTGTCACTGGAAACGAATACGCATAAGTCGTAGAGTTTACAGGTTGTGTCTGTGGGGTCTGCAAAGCGGCCGGCTCCTTTCTCCGTACAGTTCACACATAATGCTCCCCATACACAGCAGGAAATCTAAAACAAAATTGTTACTGACGTTAAATTTTAAGAAATGTTACTTTAACACAGTCACAAATAGTGTTCTGGATTTGTGTTTATAATCACAGACTGGTGACTCTAGTATGAAACTAATGACCAATGAAACATGTACATTAATTTGTCTAATTATCAGGCTAAAACTTTGAAGCCTGAGGTAACAGGAATGTACCAACAAAATTAAAACCTCAATCTTTACGTTCATTGTTCTTTTATAAAACTGAATTAAAAATTGAAAGATGTTCTTTATAAAGCCTTGATGCGGTTTACAGTACTAATAAGTAATTCGGATTATTAGCTATCATAACACAAATGATGTGGACACGACGGCATTTTATAGCTTTCCAAATTGAATCTAATAAAACGATGACAGTAGTGCAAGCAAGATTAAATTCTATTAAAACTGTTAAAAAACATTTTTTTTTGTTATTGTAAACTAATTAATTAAAAATAATCCATCACGTCACGTGACACAAAAACATCACAGTGCAGTCGTACCTTAAATAATATGTCTTCGCTCATCTTATACTAATAGTGTCTTGCAGTTTAATTTCGTCGGAGACTGAATTTGGTCGAAATATATACTATATGTGTAATTTAACAAAGATAGTTTGTTTACGTGTATATAGGCATGGTGCGACTTAAAGACGCCGCGACCCCATCTTATCTAGAGCGTTTTAGATCCTTAAAATTATGAATGTGTAAAGTCAATAGTTAACAGAATAAAAATAACAATTTCTATATGATCTATAGTATTATAAAGTATCAGAAATTGTTTTTAAAATCTTGCCAAATAGATTTACTAATTATCTCAAATAAGTTTCCAGAAATTCAAATAAAACAACGCATTGCTTGCAGTTCTTTATTACTTGATTATTAAAATATAACATTCCTTAAAAACATCGCCTCGGTTATTTCTATAAATTTACAATCTTAAGATACAGATAGAGTATATTCATTTATATGTATATAAATGCAAAAAACAACTTTGCTATGTGTATATAAAGCATAATATAGTAGTTATACATCATTAAGGACAAGTATATGTAGTTGTACACACTTTCGAAACGGGACTAAAAACAGATGTAGTAGGGCATGTATAGGAATATTGTAATAATGTCCCATTCGCAGCAAGGACACACAAAAAGTATCTTTGACAGGTTGTATCTGTGGTGTCCGCTACTCTACCAGCTGATGAACAACTTACAGCTGAAGTACAGTTATAACTGGCGTCACAAAGTGTAGTATTGGGGTTGTAAAGTGTACCATTCGGGCAAGACAGGACCGTTTCGGAAAAGGTACCGTTTATTTGAACGCACTGAATGTATGAAGTACAGTCTGTTGATGATGGATCTGCCACGAAGCCGTCAGCTGTACATGCTGACGTAGTTGTATTAGTTGTAGTTGTTGTATTAGTTGTGTTACACACATAATTTGTTGTGCAGGTACTGGAAACAGGGCTGAAAAGGGAGGTTGCAGGGCAGGTGTAGTCGTAGGATATAAATGTGTTGTCCGTGGTTAATATACACAGGGAGTAGTTTTTGCAGGTTGTATCAGCTGGGTCTGCATATCGGCCTGCGGAGGTACAGTTGACAGCTCCTTGAACCTCCCAAACAACGCAGAATAGCTGAAACGAAAGTTATTATTAATATTACGAAGAATTTGTATTGTGTTCGTGTGATTAGCACAAAGGAATATGGCTTAAACAAGCTGCTAGCTTTTTGATAAGAAACATGGCAGGCCACCTCCATTATTTTGTAGTTTATGACATATATAAGCTGATTCTATTATTACTGTAACTCAATAAAAATTAAAGAAAATAGTATTAAAGGAGCACCATGCTTTTAAATCTCGCACCGACTTCAAGTCTTCGTCAACCGCTGCCTTCGCCGTATTCTGGGTACCTACTGGCCCGAGAAGATCTCTAACTAGCAATTCTGGGAGCGCAACCGAGAAAACTCGATTAGCCAGCAGATCAAGTGACGCAAGTGGAAATGGATGGACCACTCCGAAGAGAGTCCAATCATATCCCCATGCAGGGGCTTGATTGGAACCCGCAAGGAAAGCGAAAGCGTGACCGACCCAAGCAAACCCGGCGTCGTACAGTTGCAGATAAGCCAATGAAAGTCAGAAAGACTTGGAGCAAGGAAATACGAGGCTAAATACCGAACGCGATGGAGACTCACTGTGGATGCCCTCTGTCCCATCTAGGGGCTATAGGAAAGTAAGTCCAGTCAAGTATGTCAGGCTTTTAATTGGGTATTGTTACTAACTTAATTCGATTTTCCGTAGAAATCGTAGTACAATGTGTGCTCACACATTCAGACCCTGGAGCCTTGAAACGGCCTTGGAGGTTTTATTTCTGAATAGAAGAGATTCTGGTGTGGGTACTTACGGGGGCAGGGGTACAGGGTGTATGAGCAAATTTACTTCCACATCAGACATTTATGAAAAAAAAATCAATGGCGCTACCACCTCTTTAGGTCTTGGCCTCAGATTTCTGAATTTGTTTCATGATCATTTTTAAATCTAATAGGCAAGTAGGTGATAAGCCCCCAGTGCCTGACACACGCCGTCGACTTTTTGGATCTAAGATATGTCGGTTTCCTCACGATGTTTTCCTTCACCGTTCGAGCAAATGTTAAATGCGCACATAGAAAGAAAGTCCATTGGTGCACAGTCGGGGATCGAACCTACGACCTCAGGTATGAGAGTCGCACACTGAAGCCACTAGGCCAACACTGCTCAGACATTTATGAGCGTTTATAATACTAGGCTTTTTTAAATAATGGTAAAATCAAACAGTAAAGATGATACATACCAATACAGCTATACGAATTGGAGTCTGCATTTTAAATTCTTTCAAGTCAATAAAGATTGAAAGCAGGCTGGTATTTATAGTTTGGTCATTTAAGCCTAAATCAACATAATCATCTTTATTGCGACGCAGTATTTCCAATGCCATATTGTCCTTGTTTTCGTAAATCCAAAGTACGCGTGCATTGAGTTTGTTTGTTGTAATCAATATCCCTCCTAAACATATCTATACCATAATGGCCGTTGTTACACAATTTTAACTTAAAATAATAAGCCCTGAGAACATACCTCTTTTCTATATGTATATTCATAACATGAAAAAAGGCACACATACACAGTGACACATTGACAGTCGTAAGGATAAGGAGAAAATTAGTATGGGAACAATAAGAGAGCTTAGACTGATAATATTATTATATTGTGTATTCGTTATTACTACTGTGATTTTAAAACAGTTCACAAAAAAATTGCCAAAAATATAATCAAGTTCAAAATGCGTCTAGCGTAACCCAAGTGAAAAAAAAGTATCAAATGTGACGGTCGGCCGAGTTAAAGTATTAAGCAGGGTCCACACTATGCCGCGGTAGGCCGGGCGGGTTGACCCGGGTGGGCTAAGCCGGGCGGGTACGTTCGGTCCGGCACGACGTCCACACTGAAAACGAAGCCAACCGGGCTATTTCTACCTACATTATTTAGTTTCAACACCAAGACTGGTGATTTAGTTGAAGAGTACTTAAAATGAACAATAAAAAACCCTACTTAAACAAACTGAATCGAAAATAAAATAATTCGTCTACTTTGGTCGGAGGTTTAATTGTAACTGAAGCTACTCGGGGCGCTCGGCACGTCCCCATTCTATATTTTTGTTCGGCTCGGCTCGGCTTCCTTTGATCTGTACCTACTTTATGCGGGTTGGGATCGGCACGGCCCGGGCCGGCATTTTCTAACCCGGCAAAGCCGCCCGGGGCGTCTACATCAACGTGGCTTAGGCCGCCCGGGTCAGCCCGCCCGGCCTACCCCGGCATAGTGTGGACCCTGCTTTATGGATCATCAAAATTTATGAAATAAAAAAATATGTATTTCGAACAATATCTAATAGTTTAAAAGTGGAGAGATTCAGGGGATATATATATATACTAGCTGCCCCGCGAACTTCGTTTCTCCTTAATGTGATTTTACTTAGCCAACCTTTTTAGTAGGTACATACCAATATGGAACATTTTGCTATGCTACCCCCGAGACTGTTCGGTTTTCCGGAATAAAAACTTTTTAGATTTTTCCGTGAATTTTTTCTATATAAACCTCAAGAGTTTAAGTCATAAGATTTTAATTAACAAACAAAAAAATTGGGGTTGATTGTAGAGGGGTGAAAATTAGGGGTTGTATGTATTTTTGATATTGTATTATAAAAAAATAAAAATAAAAAATTGGGGTAAATACTGAATATGCATAAAAAATTTCATGAGAATCGGTCGAGCCGTTTCGGAGGAATATGGACACTCACACTGCCAGATGGCTTGCAATTACGTTGTCGACTTTTAAGAATAGACTCTTAATTGGTTCGCAAACATCTATGTGGGCAGCTGGTTCCTCATAGTGATGGTGGGCAGCAAAAAGAGTCAGTTGTGGAACGAGGGACGTATATGCAAAAAATATCAATTTAAATCGAAGAAAAACTTGAAAAATTTCAGAGTACAGAAGAAAACAATGAAAAGCGTTAAAGCTTTTCTGATTAAAAGTTCTCGTTATTTGTTTGGTTTAAAGCGATAACATATACATTTTACTATCTACTAAATATGTCCTTCAAAAGCGTGTATTATAATTAATTTTTTGCTATTTTGTTTTTAAAAGGCGTTAAATTTATCGTATAATTTGAACCTTTTACGATTCTGTTAAGTAATAAATTTTTCTTCCGTTCCGTACCTCTGGTTAATGGGTAATGGTTGGTGAACTCAGACTCTCATTTGGTCCGTTTTGCGTAAACTAAGCTAGCCTAGCTCCTTCCAGAAGCACAGAAGTCTCCTGGGCACTTCGCAGGCTTCACAGAGCGACCTCACTGCTCCGAGGATTTCTGTACGTTTTCCATACTTCTATGCCAATAGAAAACTAGAGCACAAAAGATCAGTGTTAGCCTAGTAGCTTCAGCGACTCTCATCAACGAGATCGTAGGTTCGATTCCTGGGTGAGCACAAATAGACTTTCTGTCTACGCATTTAACACTCACTTGTACAAAGAAACATCGTTAGAAAATTGGCATCCATTAGACCCAAGAAGTCGAAGGCGTGAAGGCGTGTGTCAGACATAGACTGATCACTTTCTTGCCTATTAGAAAAACAAATGAACGGACAGAAATTTGAGGTCCAAGAAAGAAAACTATTTCTAGGATTTTAACCTACGGTCTAAACTAGTCTAGATATAATATTATTATTATATTTATATAAGACCCTAATCGAGAAAGTATGACTAAGCCCCATATAACTCATGCAATCATCAGCATATAACTTCTTAATATAACCTACAAACATGGAAACCTTTTATCTTAAACCAACATAGTGCTGCGTCAATTCATCGATATAAATAAAATATTGTTATACACTCGGCGTCAAAAAAATCGCACCTTTCTTAAAATTCGTGTCAAGCGATTATAACTTCTAAGATCCTTCCTGTACCCTATCATTATTAGTATCATTTAAAAGCTCAATTAATAAGCTTTCAAAAAAATAATCATTTGTTTACGGAAAATCAATAACCACAAATCGCCAGCACTTTGATTAAAAAGTGGCGATGCATAACATTTTGCGCATTTGGAGGCTCACTAATTGTACCACCCTGGACGCGTATAAAACGAGGGGGTAAAAGTCAATTATGGGTTATTCGCTATCCAGACGTCACAGAGGTCACACCTGAAGAGCTTCGACAGTAAAAAACCCAGTGAAAATGGATACCATGGCAGAAGAAGCAGCTCAAGTGGTGGCCCTACCTCAAACCGGACTACGGCAGGTTGAAGTTGCTCGGCAACTGAAAATCAGCCGATTTCGAGTGCAACGGGTATACCAACGGATTCAAGAGACTGGAGGTTACATCTGGAGGACTGGAGGAGACATGGATCCGGGAGACGTCGCTGCACTACCGTCAGAGATGTTCGCTACATTGTGTCGACGTCTTTGCGGAACCGCTTCTCCAACGCTGTGGAGCTGCAGCAGTGGCTTCGAGCTACTCGAAGGACAGCAGACAGCGTCTCTACTATCAGAAGAAGGCTGTGAGAGAAGAATTTGCTGCCCCGGAGAGCTGCTACAGGCCCCCAATTGACTGCCATCCACCGGACGAACAGGAACCGATTTTACGAAACGCACGTGCCGTGGACATTCGACCAGTGGAGGAATGTCCTGTTCTCCGACGAAACCCGAGTGTGCCTGTACACCATAGACATGGGTAAGAGAGTCTACAGGCGACCAGGGGAGCGTTTCACACCAGCCTGCACCGTGGAAACCGTCGGGTATGGAGGAGGATCCTGCATGTTCTAGGGCGGCATTTCTATCGACGGCAAAACAGACCTCGTGTGCGTCTCCAGATCTGGAGATGGTCGCGGCCAGGGGTCTCTGACTGCCCACCGGTATATCACCGAGATTTTGGAGGAGCATGTGGTCCCATGTGCAGGTTTTGTCGGCGCCAACTTCAAGTTCATGCACGACTACGCCCGGTGCCACACAGTCTTGATTGTCAAGGACTACCTACGTCGAGTTGGCATCAAGGTTATGGACTGGCCAGCAAGAAGCCCAGACCTCAATCCTATCGAGCACTTCTGGGACGAGCTGAAACGGCGAGTTTGGGCCCGTAATCCAGCTCCTGCCACTCTCGATGAGTTTCGAGATGCCGTCATCGAGGAGTGGGACAATATTCTCCAGGAACACGTCGTGACCGTCATCAGGTCTATGACTGACCGCTTGGAAGCTGGTCGGAGGGCTAGAGGAGGCAACACTAGGTTTTAAGACTAATTTTTAATTATTGTTATTGTTTATTTTTAATTTTTGTATTGTTCATTTTCACTTATAATACTCTAATAATTTTTTAACCTGAAAAACTTGACGACTTTATTTGTTTGCAGGGAACCTTGAGGGAAATGCCAGATAATTTTGAAGCTCGTGTGGTATTCGGGGGGATTATTTTTCCGACCCAAATGTCGGCCAATAGAATTGCACCATGAGACGAAATGTACAGTTAACAAATAAGAATTTCATAATGAATAAAATAACTACTTAATACTTTTCTTGAAGCAACTACCAGAGAAAATTTTCAAAAAATTATCAGTATAATACCATGTAGGTTGTACCACGTGACGTCGAATGGTGCAATTCTATTGGTCGATATTTGGGTCGGAAAAATAATCTTTGTAATTTTGATCAGAATACACATTGTTTCACATTTTCCCAGAATTTTCTTTTTTTATGGGGGTGGTTACCAATTTCCTACCGTTTTCAAATAAGGGATTTCATTAGCTTTCAAATGATACTAATAATGATAGGGTACAGGAAGGATCTTCGGAGTTATATATCGCTTGACACGAATTTTAGAAAAGGTGCGATTTTTTTGACGCCGAGTGTATATAATATAAAATTATATATCTTATTTTATTTAGATTGGATGAAATTCATATAAACAAATGTTGCACTTAAAATAAGGAAACATACAAGTTTCTTTACATATATTTTAAAAATATTGTTATATATTTTAGAAATATAGAACTTTTATACGTACTGTTGTAGTATTATATAGCTTATTCATAGTCTAATTAACTAATTTTTTTTAAAGTCTAATTAACTAGGCCTCAGATTTCTTTATCTGTTTCATGATAATTTGTTAATCTAATAGGCAAGCAGGTGATCAGTCTCCTGTGCCTGACACACGCCGTCGACTTTTTGGGTCTAAGGTAAGCCGGTTTCCTCACGATGTTTTCCTTCATGTTTTCGTTAGGTCTTTAAATCCAAGCCGTCAAGCGGCAATTTGAGTTGCAGAAAGTTTGTCTTCGGAGCGCCCATAAGAAATGTGCTTCTATCCTACGTCTAAATTCGTTGGTATAGGTGACCCCTAGCGCCAACGATCCTGAATCTAAATACATTACATTGTCGAATATTTAGATTTATCGATAATAATAGGCATTACTATCTGAAAGAGTGTAGTTTTATCATTTATTTCGTGCTGTATTAGTTGCCATAAAGCCTGGAACTATCGTGAAAAGTGTTTAACACAATGAAGGCTATTTTTTACTGCGCTGTAGTGATATCGGTGAGTTAATGGCATATAATCTTTAATTAAAGTATTCTATCAGATTTAATCGATTTGTTTTTGTATTAAAAAGACTAAAAATACTTATTTATAAAGTTTATATTGCCTTATTATTTATATAATAAATAAAAAGTATATTAAATTATAATTCTGTAACACAATTATATAAATATTTGAGATCAATAAACATATTTACATTAGAAAATTCAAATTAAATTTATCTTTGTATGCAATTTTTACAGTTTTCGAGCTATGTCCAAACTACATGCCTAGTTAATGGACGATTCCCTAACAACGCGGAGGCTGACTGCCGTGGTTTCACAATGTGCTTGCAAGGCGCTGCAGGATTTATGGAGTACAATCTCGTCTGCCCAGAAAACTCAATATTCAGTCACATAGACAGTCAGTGCACGAACATAACCGAGTATTCATGCGTATCGAATTACAATTGCACTCAGGAGGAAAGTGTACTGTCAAAAAATTGCACAGACTACATATCGTGCATAAAAGATTTGAAAGGAGTATTTTCTGCTCGTCGCTTAGAATGCCCACACAATACAATTTACAATGGAACCTATTGCGTCGATAGGGACTTTTATCAATGCCCAAGTACTGAAACACCGTTGATAGGAGTGACGGTTAAACATTTTGAGGGAAATACCACTGGAAACTCGGCCGCGTCAGCGTGTTTAAATTTAAGTTTCGTAATTCTATTTCTTGTGATATTGTAACAATAAATATTGTGACATCTACATTGTTATCGTTTTATTGTCCGTTTCCTGCGTTTACTTTTGTTTACTCAAAGATGCGTCAAATAAACGAGACCAAGGCCGAGATGAGGTATACGACTTATCAGATTTTACTAAATGTTTTAATTTATTTATTTTATTACACTGAATAATGTAAATGTATCAGTTAAATATAGGCTTAATAACTGCGGATCTTAACATGATACCAGTGAATCAGTTAATCTGACTAAAACCCTGGTGATAGGAAAATCCTTATTAGGCAGATTGGGTTGGTGATAATAATTTCAAATTTTCCGACGATTTTTTTTATACAGCGCATAGGGATCACCTGATATTAAGTGATAACATTCCCCAGGACACTACACTGCCAGAGGACTCGCAAATGCGTTGGCGGCCTTTTTGCGCTCTTACCATGTCCCAATAAAGTCCATTTGGCTCATAGTTCTGCGTAAATCTCGTAAATCATTGAGTTTTCTTATTTTTATTTTTTTAATTATTTCTCTATGCTCTATTGTTCCAACTTCCAACAAAAACTTTAATGCTTATATTTTAAAGTATTTATTAAGATTTGGTAGAGAAAGCAAGGGTTATGGTTATCCGCCTCGTTCTCAACCTTATTTCCAAACAGAAGTATAGAATGTGCATACAATACCATACCATACATATCGTTCCATTACAACTAAAAGGTATTTTGTTATTTATTTATAAAACCATAAAACATCATAATTAAAATATCGTACAAAAGTGAAGTAAGGAAGGGAAGTCCAAACTTACAAAACGCATCACAATTGGTCAAAACAAAAAATTAAGTCAGGTGACACAAAATTCCGTGGGCGATTTTTTGTGAGTCTAGAACTCTAGATTCTAGAACGACGCCGTTATATACCATAACCTATACAACTATTTTATGCGTATGTTTTTTTTTTCAAATATTACATACGTATACATGCTAACTCGATGTTAAAATATATAAAAAGAGTTAAATTTATTGTTTAAAAAAAATTTAAAATTAAACAATACAATAAAAAAATAAATTAGAGATACATTATCCCTTTTTACAAATTTTACATAGTTTTCGTTCTTGCGCATCACTTGGAATAGAAAATACTTTATCGGGTTTACTTATAATAGCATTTAATACTTGCAAAATCCAAACACGGGACGTGTCATATGACCTAAGCAAAAGTCCGCGCCAAATGTCGGAGCTTTTTTTTTTTTTTATGGCTCTGGCACGATTTGTGCATTAGCCAGCGTCAAGTATAGGATTTTTTATAATTCGTGCTTGTCTTTAGAAATTCGACCGTGTCCTCCATGTACGAGTTTAGGCACTCGCCCGGTACCGCACAACCCTCACAAAGGCCGAGAACAAATTTAAATTAAATTAAAACTTGCCCTCGGACCGGGAATCGAACCCGGTACCCCTCACGTAGCTGCCACTTAATAAGACCGCTAGGCTATGAGGCCCCTATGTCGGTGCTTAATCGGCTTAAATTTGTCCATTTTAAATTTTGTAACGACATCTACATTGTACGGCTACAACCACAGCGATGACGTTTTACCTCGACTAACGACATTTTTCGGCAATAAAAGAACATATTAATATTCTTTTGGGGTGTAGAGCGATATTCTACGCTTTTTCTGTTAGTTAAGATAACATACTTATATTATATTGCTACATCCATTGAATATAATATCTATAGGTACTTGATTTAAGCTGACACTGACAATTAAAAACTATCAAGACAAACGGCATTTCATATTTGTCAGTTTCGGTTGTCATTGTCACCGTCAATTTTTATGTGTCAAAGACATCTGTTTCCAATTTCCATAATCCAAAACATAGATTTTTGGGTTATGTTGATTAAGCCGTATATATAATACACTTATTTAGTTGAAAAAATATTTTGTGGTAAATATATGTAGTGAAGCAATCTCATAGATTATTTAAATAAGTTCATCTCTTTATCTTAGTGCTAATAAACTCGAACCGCTATGTATTCAACCATTCCAATTCAAAGGTATGTACGTTTTTGTTTTAATGGGAATCCGCGTAAATATTTGGTATACAGATTGATGAGTTGTTCAGATTATTGATTTTTGGGTATATATATCTTGTTATAACAGACAGTGGGCGAGACTTGCACATGTCTGTCGAGCTTTATCGTCATTGGAGGGCCACAAGCTACCTGTGGGTGGAAAATCAATAGACGGCATTTCACCGCCACTGCGCATATCCCGGTCTCCTACCGACATACTGCAGGCGTTGGCTGCCACGGTCGGTGTCGATCCAACAGCTCCTCATTACAAGTAAGTTTTTTATTTAAATTTCCTTTTTAATTTTCTTTATTTTACTGTTTTAGTATCATTGGCTTTAAAATTGAAGTGGCGACGATAAAAATACTAAAGTTCAAAATATTTGTACCTGTTTCTTCATCCATCCTTTGTTACCTAACTGGGTGTGGTCCATGTATGTCTTCCTACCTTGACCGTTTGATAAGTATTTTCTAAAATTCTTATTAGATGTATCATAAAAAGGAAATCAATGCTTTTAAAACCTAATTGAAAAAATTTGGGAAATCTCTATCCCCATAGTCTCATCCACTTGTTGATTCTATATTTAGATTATTCAATTAGGCTATTGAAACATCTATTAATTCATACTAAAGAATCTTTATTAAATAATTAAAATAAAATAACAAGGGTCTTTTGTGTCCAAATCCCAAAGCCTAGAAGTGCTGTTACATTTGTGTATTAATTTTGTCTACTATACAATAAGTGACTAAAGCTATCCTAACTACTTTTTGTACGTTCAATAGTACTGTAATTTAAAAAGAAACCATATTATACGAAATACAATTGGTGGTAAGACTATTTATTGGTCTGGATTTAAATATTGTCTGTTATTAATTGTTTACCACATTGCTGTAATGTGAAAGAGTAGCGAAGTAATTCAAATTTTTTTGTTTAATGTGAGGGGCGAGTAGCTTTGAATAGCCCTGGGAATTAGGCGGGTGATTAAATAAAAAATAAAAAAAAACTAGCTTTAAAAAAAATCCTGCCCTACGGTGCCTGAACCTACAAAAAGCAATCCATATATATCTTTGTTCCTTGTTACACAGAAATTTAAATACTCTAAACATTAAAATAATACAAACAAATTATACCAATATTTAAAGAAGATAATATAAAAAAAAATAATTAAAACTTTTAGGTACCATGATGACCCCTTCCTTATACCTCAATCCAATTATCGAAAGCGAGCATATGCACTATCTGCTGAGGCAGGACGTAAGGCTGCCACCTGGATAAGGGATGAACAAGCCCATTTATTTACTACTCGAGAATGGGATCCCCCAATGAAAATGAAGACTCCATATTTCAATGCCGACCCACATATTGATGCATTTACTCCAAGACCAATTTATAATGATGAAAGCAAGGTAGAATATTACTTTTAAAAAAAAATTCTTTGTAACCTGTGAACACATATAATTTACTTAAATATTTCATGGACAGGTCACTGAAGAAGATCTTTTATACACAATAAACAATGCCCTTATAGAAGATGCTATAAAAGTATACCAACTCTTAGGAGCATCGGAGGGAGTTAATGATGAATTGAAAATGTCTCTGCTTCAATTATTATGTTTTTATAATGAAAAAGAACCCATTGGGGCTGAATGGTTGGAGGAAAGGTGGTTTGCTGCAGCTACAAGAGAACGACAAGCTGCCACATGGAAGTTAGTATACAATGATTATTATATATGAGATTGGTGTTTGGCTAGACACGAGAGTTATTCAGCTGGATATTAGTATATTATTTTCAATATTGATCTAAATAAAATATGGTATATTTTTTATATGAAATGAGGCTACAGGTCCTAAAAGGCTATCACAGCCCATTGATTTACAAACTGGCAGTAAATTGTAATTTGGAATTTTTTATTTTTTTTTATTCATATTTTACTGAGCTTTACTATTACATAGACAGCTACTTCTATGGTGTCATTATTGGAATGTTTTGTAGCTTTACTTAAAAATCATCTCACATGCAATTGTTTTTTCTTGTCTCTTACCAACATCGACCTATTCGGCCATGGTATTTGTGGCTATCTGGCCGAGGTGCTTGTGGCTATCCGACTACAAGTTTGGCCGAATAACTAATATTCGTTTCATCAAATAATTCTTAAGACAATAAAAAGTTTCTTCAGTTTTGTTGTTATTTCCCCTTCCTCCAGTTGTAATTTGTACTTTTTCTTAAGGTTAGGTGGGCTTGCCGATAAGATCTTTGCTTCAATGGATCCGAAAACACCTGAAGCTTATTGCACTCTTATTCAAGGAATGGCAAAATATTATCAGGTAATTTTTTTCATATAATATTTACTTAATTTGTGTTTTTTTTTCATATAATATTGGAGTGTTCTTTATGATATCCAATAAAGATTTGTACCAAATAATCAAATATACATTCACAATATACCGGGTTTTTTTTTATAGACCAGGGGGCTAACGGGCAGGATGCCATAGTCAGGTGCCCATAGTCACTCTAAGCCAGAGGGCTCGCGAATACCGGCCTTTGAAAATTTGGTACGCTCTTTTCTTAAAGGACCTTAAGTCAACCTAAATGATTTTAAAACGAATATAATTTTGGTACCAATTGTTTTCTCGATGAATTAAGTGTTTAGTGGTTTCGAGTATGTAATATTTTTTTTTACCAATTGTTTTAAAGGATTGTGGAGTGATATAAAAGTGCTGTACTATGAGTAAAATTATTTACTATAAAAAAAAATAATACAATTTTTTTTATAAAAAAATAAAATAAAATCATTCACTATCATTTAATTGGTTGGCTATTAAAAACACAATACAATATAAATTCATCGATCATCTCTAACTTTTGCCTAATTTCGTTTTTATTGGCGAGTATTATAGAACTAAAAAATTATTGAATTAAAGCACTTTAGTTTGAGACCGAGAGCTGTTACTAGAGATTTTTTTAAATTATTGAGTTATTTAAATAAAAAGCATTTGGCGTTTACTTTATGTTAGTTCCGCGAAATACTGTATCGTCCGTGTCATCTCACGCGAACTTCAGGCATACGTTTGTTTCACTAGTCGCTTAAGCGGAGGGAGACGCGAAGAAAATCATGAATTTTGCTTTTTTGTTGAAAATAATACTGTGATGAAAAATGACTCGGTGGATATTTTCAGTAACTCCATAGACCTTTCGCCGAGTGGTTTTAGCAACCTTGCAGTGTTAATTATTTAATATTATTATTTTCTTTTGTTTTATATTCCTACAAATTTTCATTGTATTTACATTGTATATTCGCGGACGCTTTACGGAACCATGCGATCTCTTCGATACAAAAAGTACCCTCGATAGTGCTGTGATATTGCGGGTTACTGAGAAAGTTGCATGGATTTCTCATGTTATTTTCAAAAAATATTCCTTCTATAACATTAATTCATAAGAGATTCTCCTCATTTTAACATGTGAGATATTTGGGAGTAAAAATAAAAAGTAACAATATGTAATGTATGTGGATTATACCCAGTGGCGTAGCTACCATGGGGCTAGACGGGGCAGTGCCCCGGGGCCCTCAAGCTCAGAGGGCCCTCGAATCCTCACCAGAAATCTCGATCATTCTGAACTTTTGGAAATTTGTCCCATTTTCAAAATAAATGTGACAGGTTGCAACCCCATTTTAATCAAGACATTATTTGAGAGAAATTCAAAAGTTATGCCTAGGGAATTCCCCTAAATTCTTTCTGTAGGTTGGCAGTGTTGTCAATTTGACGGATAGTGATATGTGCATTTTATTATTCATCGATGTGCGTTTTATTGTGAATTCAAGTTAAGATTTTTTTTTTGAGAACGGTTAAAAAATTCATGCTGTATCAGGAGTAAGTAAGCTAATGTCAATAAACTTTTTTGTACTGGTCAATATAGTGGTTCAATTGTATTTGATTTTACCGCTCATATTGATGTACGTTAAAGTCAATAAATCGTGTCAAATCTAAAGATTTCGGCTACAGCTCATTGTATAAGTTGTAACGCGAATTAGATAGCAATTGAAAATCTAAACCGCATCAAGCCTGGATTTAAGCGAAGTCATTGATACTTTTGCGAAAACTTAAGCTAGGAAAAAATTGTAAATATAATTGTTATTTAGTCAGTTGGTAGGCCCGACCTTTATATAATAAACCCTTGAATCTTCTGTATTTCATTTTATTGCCCTGCACACAAAAAAACGCTTAAGTACCTTAGCATTTTTAAAGTAGGTATTTGTATATTTCATATTTTTATTTGATTAAACCTAATAAGTTTACATAGCAGTGGACCCCCATTTTTTAAATTGCCCCAGGGCCCTTGGTCACCTAGCTACGCCACTGATTATACCTCCCTATTTAAAAAATCGTTTAGCATTAGTGGGTAACGCTTGTCTAAGAGTGATTTTGTCTCAAGCCCCAAGTAATTTAATTTTTATTTTAGGCTGAGCGTGCGCATGCATTCGCTCAAGAGGCGATAGAAAAAGGTGTTCCCTTGTCTACCGGAGTTTATAATTCCCTCCTCAGTTGTGTTGGTTTTCTTAAAGAAGGCACGGCCTTGCGTATTGACGCGTTAAAGGGACTTCTAGCTGAAATGAATGAACAGGTAAGATTAAATATACAACCTTTGCTTTAAAATTTCTTTTATTTTGAGGCTTGAACGGTGAAGGAAAACATCGTGAGGAAACCGGCTTGCCTTAGACCCAAAAAGTCGACAAGCAAAGGAGGCTGATCACCTACTTGCCCATTAGATTGACAAATAATCATGATAGTGATACAGAAATCTCAAAGAGCCAGACCTATAAAGGTTATAGCGCCACGGATTTATTTTATTTATAAAATAGAAAATATTTGACGTATGTTCTGGCCTGCAATGGGCTTTATCTTCCCACTTCCATTATTTCCGTCTCAGACTCACGATGTGCCTGCGCCATCTAAAGTGCAGAGAAAATGAGTTGGATCGAACACATGCGAACATAGTCGAGTGAATACATTATTGTAGTATGAGCCAAATGTAGTTTCTCCGATGTGAATTTGTTGAATTAAGTAACCTGGTGACATTCGCACCTGGGCATCGATTCAGTTCACGATATTCCCTCACCGATTCCGAGTATTATTTTTTGGTAAATGGCTAATACGCAGTCAGTATTTGCAGGTACATCGTGCGCTCAGAAGTAAAAAATAATTTTACAAGTACGCACGCTAGTCACTATATATAAATCAAATGTTTTAGTTTAAACCTGTGCGGTCACAGTCAGCAGCTAATAATAATTTAATTATTTTAAAAGAAAGAAAGAAATAGCTTTGTAACACATAATAAAAAGGAATGTTTAGTTAAATGAAGAAAGTGCACTAGCCCCCACACTAGCATTCCCTATGTCGTGTTCAGCTTGTCTCTTCCATTTGACATAATAATTTCTACATAACCCTTACATTTTCAATAAGAAGAAATCCCGTTTTAGCATAGAACATATCAAGAAGATGCTTAGGAATGTTAATGAATTTTTACAATTTTGAATCGTTAGTTGAATATTATGTTTTTAAGAAAGTGGTTTAAGTTGAAAAGCTTTTGAAAGAGAAAAAGCGTAATAATTATATTTGTACGATGTTGTTGAATCGTTTTAAATAATATTTTTTACTTGCCAAAGAGGTGGGGTCAACATCGTGCTGCACTTTTTCCTGTACTTTTTATTTTTCATCTGTCAAAATATCTTACGGGGACTCCATAAGTCGAGTTACAGAGTATAAATGTATCATCAATACTTCGTAGGGAAATAACATTTTGTTCGACTTGCAAAGTCTAAATAATTTGAGAACAAGGGAACGACAATTTTTTTACTGAGGATTTCGACATATAACGAGGTTCGAGTTATAGAGCTATTATTATGTTTATATCTTTGCTATGCTATTTATGCTATTCCGCTGTATATATCTTTATCGGTCGGAATAACTTTGTTAAAGCGCTTAAAGTAAGACGTGATTGTGCTCTGCATATACTATTACTATATCACTTAAGTTTTTCAGGGCATCTCACCAAACGCAGACACGTTAACGGCGTGCCTTCGTTCAATATCGGCTTGGGGTGGAGGACAGATATTGCAAACGTTTGCATTACAAGTTTTGGCAGAATTCAAAGCTTTGAACATTCAGCCGAGCCTTTCCGCCTATTACTACATCTTGTGTTTATTCTGCAAAGAACGTAAGTTATAATAAATAACACTAAATTAAATGTTAAGATAACTGTGGTGGCGTCAACCGGTCGTCTTAACTTCTACTTCTGTAGTCACCGCTATACATGTGAGCTTTTTCTGTGATCCTTGTCTATGCGAGTTGTCATTTGTCAAAATCACGGAAGTTAATGCATACAGTACAAACTTAACTGTCAACTGAGTGATGTCATTCCAGTGTTGACAACACTTTTTGACATGTACAGAAGAAGTTGGCCTAGATCTCCGTCTGTGAGCACCAATGGACTTTCTGTCTATGTGCGCATTTAACTCTCGCTCGTACGGTGAAGGGAAACATGTGACATAGACCCCAAACACGACGGTGTGTGACAGGCACAGAAGGTTGATCACCTGCATGCCTATTAAAAATGTTTTTTTTAGCGTGTATATGTGTTTCATAGCTCATATAAACTTAAAAAAGTTATTATTATTAGGTCCTTCCATTATGAAATTGACATATGTCAAACTGGCGACTTTGACTTTATATATCTCCTCTTTGGTTAGGAATTCCAAATTCAATTTTTATAGCTATTTACTCGTGCATTTATTTTTCGAAAACTATGATCCATTTAATTTTCTTGTTTTAAATTTCTTGGGAAGTCGAAACCGCCTTTAAAGATTTTATTGATTGCCGTCCGAATGGTTTTTCTAGTAAAGGGATCATAGAACTACCTATAAGATGGAAAAAGTGCATAGATAGCAATGGTACATACTTTGATTAATTAAATATATTCTAAATAAAAAAACATGACTTTTTGTTCCTCCAATACAAAACGCCAATTTCATATGTACTTAATATTATTTACATTATAAAGAAATTTACAATAATTGTTTGACGTTTCTTTCTTTTAAAAAATTAAATTTTTGTTTCTAAGTAAACCATTAGAATTAATTTCTTGTGAATTATTTACGTATTTCCGAAGGAAAAAAGCAATTCCAATTGATTTATTAGTACATTGTCTTTGTTAGTATTAATGTTCTTCGTATAACTTTTGCTATATTTTTAATTTTTAAATCTGTACGACGATGTCAACTATGAAACCTTAAATAAATTAATAAATCCTTCTTGCAGGTGGACAGCGCATAGACATATTGACATCTATATTGACTGATTTAGAAAATAGAGAATGTTTGGAGCCATCAGATGCTATGGATACACATTTCTTCATCACAGCTATCGGAGTGTGTAGTGACCATTTACAGGTAAATTTATATGATATTATGTCGCTTCCCTCAGATTGCATAAGTTTCTTTTATTTTAAAGACATAGGTATAATTCGACTTAGAACCTACAAGAAAAGAGCGAACCAATTCTTTAAAAGCACGCACTCACGATCTTTCTGGCATTCAGCGTCCAAGGTATCACTTAACATCAGATGGGCCTCTTGCCCGTTTGCCCTCTGGTCTATAAAAAATATGCGATCAGTATTTTGTCTGGTATCTTCGATTTGAGACATGCTGGTTTTTGCTCACCATACGAGCGAGTTTTAGCGCACATAGAAAGTCAGTGCACAGCCGTGGATCGAACCTAGGACTTCAAGGGCTGCATTTAATGTACTTAATATATTTTCTTTAGTCTACTAAAAAGGAATCATTTGTATTTTTGTTCTAAAGCTGGAGCCGTTATTTCCTTTTTGAATTCTACTTTTCCTGTAAAATATATCTACTACCAAAATATTTATAAATTAATGAAGACGTAGTATGGATGAAAATCACAAAATAATAAAGTGAGGGTAGGATACCAAATTTTGTTACTCCCAAAATATTTATAAATGTAATTAGACAAGACCGCTAGTGCTATAAATGAGAATTATTTTAAAAAGTAATGTCTAAAGCCTACAAAATTTGGATAAGAAACGTAAGCGATTACAGTATTTATTACTTTATTTCCAATCTTTACAAATCAATGAATATACAGTTTAGATTTGTTATAAACATTTTGTTCTTGTTACTCGGAAACCTAACTTCCTTCAGTATCATTCGGAAACTCTACGGGTAAAAGCCTCCTCCTTCTTTTTCCAAAACACCGTCACAAAAAACCGACACCCTGAAGTTAGCTATAGTCATTTTAGTTGTCATATATTTAAATAAACTTTATTAAACTAGATAATGCGTTATAATAAATACCTTTTTTCTATTGTTAGAGTCATTTTTTCTACAAACGTAGAATAAAATTTTTGAAAAGATTTTTACCTTGTTACGCCAAAGAAGTACAACTTCAACGCGTGTACTTATGTACACACGTTTTTTTTAAAATAATTTAATTAGTTATTCTGTTATTTTTCCACAGGATATAAACCTTGCCGAGCGTGTACATGCATTACTAATGAAGGGTGATAACTACAAGTTGGTAGGAGACGCTTATAAAGAAAGCATTTATTATAGGCATTTGGTCACGGTAACATGCAGGTATTTATTTATTTCGTAACCATAAACATAGATATAAATAGGTTTAAGCAACGGGCGGCCTAAGATAGCGATTTTTTTAGGCAACGCTAGTATGGAAAATTTAAAAAAAAGAAATATTGAGGGCATAAATAAAATAAACCAAACATAATAATAAAACAGTAAAAGCTAAACTATACAAATAGTTGAATTGTCAAAAATTAGTCAACGTTAGTTATTTCCGTTTCTGTGTGTTCTGCAGGACCCCTTTTGTGTAAAGCCCTTTCCCTGAACTTTCCATTTGGATCTGTTGTTAGCTTCCATCCAATATAATTAAATTTAAATATTTGTAAAATGTTTTTAGTGTACACTTAAGAAAAGTAACTTTTCAGACACGCCCCATTCGAGACAACGGCACAGTTGTTGGACATGTTAATACCAAACATATATGTACCTGAGCCATCTGTTATGGAAGAGGTGAGTGCGCACACGCATGTTTGCCGCGAATTAATGGTTTTTGATCACTAAATTTTTGAGTAAAAAGGAAAATCAGTTAATTTAATTACACTTCATCTTAACATATAAAAAAACAGGTTACATAAGTTATTAGGCAACGGGCGGCCTTATCGCTAATAAGCTATTTCTTCCAGGCAACCATAGTATGGAAAAATAAAAACCTATGCTTATAATTAATGTATGTGATATTGGATAACATTTAAGTAAATTTGATGATTATTTTATGTTTGTTTGTTGACGCATTTCTCGGAAACGAAAAGTCATATCGAAATGATGAACCCTCAAAGGCCGGCAACGCACCCACTAAAAGTGGGTGTCTATGGGCTGCGATGACTGCCCTTTTTGGACGACCCGCAAGCTTCTTTGCCTATTATATAAAATAAAAAGAGGAAATACTTTAATCAATATTTATTCGTTTTTTAATTCGCATTTCTAAATGGTAGGCGTAAATTTTTTCCAGTATTTTTAAAGTTTTTTTTTTTTTCAGATAATAAAGACATTGGAAGTAGCTGGGGCTGGTGATAGACTCGCAGAAGTTTGGTCCCAACTTGTCGTATTTGGTCTCGCGAAAAGAATTAAAATTGTTGAACAATTACTGAATGCACTCTGCCAATGCTATTCTTACCAAGGTATGTGAAACCTAATGTAAAAAATTATTTTAATAAAAAAACATTGGGGAAAAAGAAATAATCACCATTTATAACAATTAATTGATTTAATATATCGCTTTTTTAAGGTAATGCTATTATTAATAGGATACTAAGTTCATTACATATACAAAGATATATAACAAATGAAAGCTTATTTTTTCTATTCGACGATTTAAACATAGTTCCTCTTATCAACAGTTATTATATGTTTAGTAATAAATCATAACGCACTTATAAAATATCTGCCCGCGGGCATACTCGATCGAGAACAGTCTTTGTAGATATATATATATATATAAATACGTGATTGCTTTTTAAATAATATGTAATATACCTTTAAGAGCCTTGCCCCTATTTTGTTATCACTCACTTTTTTGGATTGTATTTAAAGACAAAAAGTTTACTGTTGGCGTACTGGTAGTGTCTGAAAACAAAGAAACAAATATTTGTGTCTTAGTGTAGATAAAACTAATATACTTTTGAAAATACATACAAAAAGCTACATTTTAGGGACCAGTTGTCATAGTTTACTTAAATTAAAATCTATGATATTTCATAGAAGTCTTGGCATATAACAAAACATCGCTTAGAGTTCCTGTTTCACGTACCGGTGTCTGTATTATGAATAAAATTTTCGTTTAAAATAGTTATTGCATAACCAGGCTTCGAACCCGTTCCACATGCTTTCAGGATGTGTAAATGTATTTCCACCTCGAACATTAAAGAGGGGTGAACCCACAATGTTGGGATTACGTTTTTTTTATTATATAATAACGAGCAGCAGGCTCATTTGATGTTATACTCTGATTTTTAATTCGTATTGAAATTGAAAAATGTGCCCGGCAAAAAGGTTTGTCATCTCTGACATGTCAAAAAATGATAGCTGTCAGAATTCTACGGAATTAAAAATCAGAGTATAAGTGATACCGCTGCCCATAGACACTCATAATGCCAGAAGACTCGCAAGTGCGATTCCGGCATTTTAAGAATTGGTACGCTCTTTGAAGGACCTCAAGTCGAATTGGTTCGGAAATACTACTGTGGGCAGCTGGTTCCACATAGTGGTGAGCACAGCAAAAACTGCCATAATAAATAAATGATGAATATGCCCTACATGTTTGAATAATTAAAAAATATTTTGCAGAAGATGAAATTAAAGAGAAAATCCGAAATGCCGCAGCCGATATGCTTAAGTTTGGACAATTGATTCAAGAACAGAATGAAAATAGAAGGACACCTACACAACAGTAATTATATGTTTAATAATTTTTTCGTTTGTTTATTAATCATCAGGAGTTCTGTGTCAAAAAATTTAAATTATTATTAGTTTGAATAATATTTAATATTTTAATAAGGATAAACAAAATTATAATTAATTTATTATAATACACGGGCTTGGTCCTAAATTGTAGCATCATATCAGCACATTTGACCCAAGTAACAATTTTTACACGTTTCCTTAGAACGAACATTCTGTATTAATAGAACAGTAACAAATTTAAAGAAAAAACATAAAAAATCAGCTTAATAAGCCATTCAATTAATAGCCTAGCCTCTTAACTAAACAGTGCCGTTTAACTAGCGGCCTCAAAGATATTCAGCCATAGCGTTTGTACCAACATTTAATAAACTGGCTGCCTAATGCTTAGGCCATTCGTACGATAGAGTGACCATGTGGCAGAAATGAAACATCTTAATAAAAATATTTCTTTAAAAATTAAATTGCTTGAGTCAGTCACAGCTGAATTCACATTATTACCCCACCACACTCTTCTATTGTACTTGTTGTTATTCTTTAACTTTGGAAAACACCATCAATGTTGTGGTTTCCGACGCCATATTGAGAGTTTTGTTTCGAGTTTGAGAGTGGCAGAAAATGTAACTAAATTTAAATTAACAGTCAACAGGCTAGGCAAGTAAGGAAACGTCATAGATCAAAGTCATTTGCCTAGCTGTTTGATCAACTGGCTGAATATCTTTCAGGCCGCTAATTCAACGGCGCTGTTTAGTTAAGAGGCTAGGCTGTTGATTAAACGGCTAACTAAGCTAGTTGGCTGCGACATGTATATCATTATTACGTTTAACAGGTTATCAGCAACAGCTTTAGCGAATATAATAGATTTGTGTGCGGACGTGAACGATAAAGATGACCCCAGCTGGGAGGTTGTTGGAGAGGCTTTGGGAAGGCTTCGATCCGAGCAGGCTGTGGGCGTACCGGATAAACCTGAAATATTGGCGTCGGTCGCGAAAAAGGCCGCTAACATCGGAAAACCGGGTATTGCAGCTGTAAGTATATTATTTTTTATGTGATTATGAATTCGTAGCAATTGGGTAAGGTTTTAGCTCCCGAAGGTAAGACTAAAGTACCGAAAGTTGTCATAGCAGTGCTTTTTTGAAAATGCTTTTTTGAAAAGGTAAGCTTGACATTTATAGCTATTAGTCTGAGAATATCCGCAGGGTTGCTACTGTAAAAAAAACATATTTTTAATTTATAACAACATTGCGCGCGTTTGCGATTTGCCTTAAAATTTGCGACTTTCTTGCTAACTTTGGTATACATTTTCTTTGTGTATATAGAAACATATTTCACAGTTGAGACATACTGCGCGAGTGGTGCATCGGTTTTCTCGGAGCCGGTACACATCTCGCTAGGTTCGTTTTAACTACAATTCCACTAAAGTTTCAGCTAACTGCAAATCCATCTCCAAGATATATGCCTTTTCACATGTATGTTAAGTAAATTATTAATATATATATATATATATATATATATATATATATATATATATATATATATATATAAATTATTAATATATATCTATAATTTAACCTAGCTATTATAAACTGTTGAATGTAATATATTAATAATTATTCGTGTTTGTAATAAATATAAGTGGAGCATAGCTGGGTAGCCATTGCATTGGCTGTTATACATCGTGCCCAGGTCTACCGAGCATGCCCCTATAAAACTCATCCTAGTGTTCTAACGTTCTAAGTACTTTGTATATTTGTATAAAAATCTGATGTATTATACGTATATTATCAAACGTTTCGGACATAGCGCGTTAACCATTGCATTGGCTATTATACATCGTGCCCAGGTCCACCGAGCATGCCCTTTTAAAACTCATCCTAGTGTTCTAACGTTCTAAGTACTTTGTATATTTGTATAAAAATCTGATGTATTATACGTATATTATCAAACGTTTCGGACATAGCTCGTTAACCATTGCATTGGCTATTATACATCGTGCCCAGGTCCACCGAGCATGCCCTTTTAAAACTCATCCTAGTGTTCTAACGTTCTAAATACTTTGTATACTTGTATAAAAATCTGATGTATTAAACGTATATTATCAAACGTTTCGGACATAGCTCGTTAACCATTGCATTAACCGTTATACATCGTGCCCAGGTAACGACCCACTGAGCATGAACTTATAAAACTCATCCGAGTGTTCTAACGTTCTAAGTACTTTGTATATTTGTATAAAAATCTCATGTATTATATTATCAAACGTTTTGGAAATAGCTCGTAAACCATTGCATTGACCGTAATACATCGTGCCCAGGTAACGTCCCACCGAGCATGAACTTATAAAACTCATCCGAGTGTTCTAACGTTCTAAGTACTTTGTATACTTATATAAAAATCTGATGTACTACTAACCTTCTAAGCCTTTAGCTCACCAAACATGCCTTATGCATTTATTTGTGTATATAATATAATCATCACTGTTGACAAGCCTACTGTAACCACACCCGTGGTATTAGAAATAATGAGTGTGACATTTTGATAAGATGCATGGTCCAGTTATGTATTATTTTATCATTTGGAGTCTATTTTTCTCAGCGTTGGAATTAGTATAGCAAATTTACTAGTAATGTCAGTTGTATAAAAGTAAACTGACAGTGTTGTAACATTGTTAGTTTATTGTACTAATGCTACCGCTGATAGAGATAGTCTCGACATTCTGAGATCGAAATGCATAGTAATTAAATATTATTTTCGGAGTTATATAATTAGCTCACTTTATTTGATATTTAAAAAATTGGAATATTAAAACATAGGTTGTAAGTTTGTATAAAAATCTCTGGCCGTTATACAACGTGCCCGATGACGGCTCACCGAGAATGCCTATACAAAACTCATCCTAGTATTCTAACGATCTACGTGAAGTGTATATTTGTATAAAAATGAGATGTATTATATTATCAAACCTGTTTAGGCATAGCTTGTAAGCCGTTGCATTGGCCGTTATACATCGTGCCCAAGTAACGACTCACCGAGCATGCCCTTACAATACTCATCCAAGTAGTCTAACGTTCTATGTGAAATGTATATTTGTATAACAATGTGAAGTATTATTTTATCAAACCTGTTTGGACATAGCTTGTGAGCCGTTGCATTGGCCGTTATACATCGTGCCCAGGTAACGACTCACCGAGCATGCCCTTACAATACTCATCCAAGTAGTCTAACGTTCTATGTGAAATGTATATTTGTATAACAATGTGAAGTATTATTTTATCAAACCTGTTTGGACATAGCTTGTGAGCCGTTGCATTGGCCGTTATACATCGTGCCCAGGTAACGACTCACCGAGCATGCCCTTACAATACTCATCCAAGTAGTCTAACGTTCTATGTGAAATGTATATTTGTATAAAAATGTAATGTATTACATTATCAAACCTGTTTGGACATAGCTTGTAAGCCGTTGCATTGGCCGTTATACATCGTGCCCAGGTAACGACTCACCGAGCATGCCCTTACAATACTCATCCAAGTAGTCTAACGTTCTATGTGAAATGTATATTTGTATAAAAATGTAATGTATTACATTATCAAACCTGTTTGGACATAGCTTGTAAGCCGTTGCATTGGCCGTTATACATCGTGCCCAGGTAACGACTCACCGAGCATGCCCTTACAATACTCATCCAAGTAGTCTAACGTTCTATGTGAAGTGTATATTTGTATAAAAATGAGATGTATTATATTATCAAACCTGTTTGGGCATAGCTTGTAAGCCGTTGCATTGGCCGTTATACATCGTGCCCAGGTAACGACTCACCGAGCATGCCCTTACAATACTCATCGTAGTATTCCAACGTTCTATGTGTAATGTATATTTGTATAACATCGTGAAGTATTATTTTATGAAACCTGTTTGGACATAGCTTGTAAGCCGTTGCATTGGCCGTTATACATCGTGCCCAGGTAACGACTCACTGAGCATGCCCTTACAATACTCATCCTAGCATTCCAACGTTCTATGTAAAATGTATACTTGTATAAAAATATGATGTATTGTATTATCAAACCTGTTTGGACATAGCTTGTAAGCCGTTGCATTGGCCGTTATACATCGTGCCCAGGTAACGACTCACTGAGCATGCCCTTACAATACTCATCCTAGCATTCCAACGTTCTATGTAAAATGTATACTTGTATAAAAATATGATGTATTGTATTATCAAACCTGTTTGGACATAGCTTGTAAGCCGTTGCATTGGCCGTTATACATCGTGCCCAGGTAACAGCTTACCGAGCATGCCCTCACAATACTCATCCAAGTAGTCTAACGTTCTATGTAAAATGTATACTTGTATAAAAATATGATGTATTGTATTATTAAACCTGTTTGGACATAGCTTGTAAGCCGTTGCATTGGCCGTTATACATCGTGCCCAGGTAACGACTCACCGAGCATGCCCTTACAATACTCATCCAAGTAGTCTAACGTTCTATGTGAAATGTATATTTGTATAAAAATGTAATGTATTACATTATCAAACCTGTTTGGACATAGCTTGTAAGCCGTTGCATTGGCCGTTATACATCGTGCCCAGGTAACGACTCACCGAGCATGCCCTTACAATACTCATCCAAGTAGTCTAACGTTCTATGTGAAGTGTATATTTGTATAAAAATGAGATGTATTATATTATCAAACCTGTTTGGGCATAGCTTGTAAGCCGTTGCATTGGCCGTTATACATCGTGCCCAGGTAACGACTCACCGAGCATGCCCTTACAATACTCATCGTAGTATTCCAACGTTCTATGTGTAATGTATATTTGTATAACATCGTGAAGTATTATTTTATGAAACCTGTTTGGACATAGCTTGTAAGCCGTTGCATTGGCCGTTATACATCGTGCCCAGGTAACGACTCACTGAGCATGCCCTTACAATACTCATCCTAGCATTCCAACGTTCTATGTAAAATGTATACTTGTATAAAAATATGATGTATTGTATTATCAAACCTGTTTGGACATAGCTTGTAAGCCGTTGCATTGGCCGTTATACATCGTGCCCAGGTAACGACTCACTGAGCATGCCCTTACAATACTCATCCTAGCATTCCAACGTTCTATGTAAAATGTATACTTGTATAAAAATATGATGTATTGTATTATCAAACCTGTTTGGACATAGCTTGTAAGCCGTTGCATTGGCCGTTATACATCGTGCCCAGGTAACAGCTTACCGAGCATGCCCTCACAATACTCATCCAAGTAGTCTAACGTTCTATGTAAAATGTATACTTGTATAAAAATATGATGTATTGTATTATTAAACCTGTTTGGACATAGCTTGTAAGCCGTTGCATTGGCCGTTATACATCGTGCCCAGGTAACGGCTCACTGAGCATGCCCTTACAATACTCATCCTAGCATTCCAACGTTCTATGTAAAATGTATACTTGTATAAAAATATGATGTATTGTATTATTAAACCTGTTTGGACATAGCTTGTAAGCCGTTGCATTGGCCGTTATACATCGTGCCCAGGTAACGGCTCACTGAGCATATTTAAACAATTGTCGACAGACCATTAATGTGTTGTATATTAAAAATTGTGTCTTTATACAAAATTGTTACATATCTATTGTTTAAAAGATTTATTTTAAATACTGTTTAATGTCATTATTGCGTTTGGGCTTGCTTGTGAGGCCGTTACACATCGTGTCCAGGTAACGGCCCACTGCAATATCTTAACGCGAGCAACGAAACCTCACAATTTACTAACCACATGCTTGGACTTGCTTGGATTGCTAATGGAACTAATCGCCAAGTGAGTGTATTGTTCTAATATTTTGTATAATTTACGCCACAGGTTTTGCAACGCGAAGATATTTTAACACTTTTTTTTAAGTTATTTAATTTCATTTTTGAAGTTATACTTCTTTTGGCGCGATAGGGAAAAATTATGAGAGAATTTTTTTACGATGCGCGCTACAAAAAACCGACACCCTGAAGTTATAGTCAACATTTTAAAATAAAAAATGTCCATTTTTTTTAATTTTTTGGGATTTTTAAATAAACTTTATTTATCTAGATAATGCGTTATACTAAAACTTTCAATAATTAAATACCTTTTTTCTATTCCTATTGTCGTTTTTTCTACAAACGTAGGTACAGAATAAGACGAACATTTTTAAAAAGATTTTTATCTTGTTACGCCAAAGAAGTATAATTTCTAACGCGTGTACATAAGTACTATTGTTTTTTTTATGTATGTTGATGTAATCTGTATAACACTGCAGAGATAGATAAATTTCAACGTATTTCAGACGGCACTAACCTACCTTGCCGAGTGCGGTTTTGAAGAAGCAACGAAAGCATGTGTGGAGACACTTGGAGTTATGTTGAATAGACCAGTTGAGGAAGTCCAGACGTTACTGCAAGAGCCAAGATCTGCCCTTGAGGCTTCATTGCACCCGTCGGCACTTGTCATCGCAGAAGCTTTTCATTTGTAAGTACCACGATTAACTTAATATCTTTATATATATAATTGTACTGTACGTGTGTTAAACACTAAACAATAGAACGATGATGGAACATTCCCTATGTTAATCCTAACTTTAAAAAAAAATTCAATTTAAATAATTAAATGCATTTTGTGATATTTTTCTAAATTTTTTTTTTATTAATACCGAAAACTCTTCAGGGCAAAAACGGGTGGACCCATGGATTCTTCGAGTTCGGAGAGTGATAGCGATTCTTCGGACAGTGATTAGATTTAGTTTTTAGTGAATAATAATTTAGTTGGAAATAAAATAATAGTCAATATATAATTTTTTATTTACCTAATACCTACGTTTACAATAAAATACATTTTCAACTGAATTTTTCTTGTTGAGACCTATATCAAATACTTGAGCAGTGTTGGCCTATTGGCTTTAACGTGCGACTCTCATCCCTGAGGTTGTAGGTTCGATCCCTGGCAGTGCACCAATGGACTTTCTATGTACATTTAAAATTCGCTCAAACGGTGAAGGAAATCATCGCGAGGAAACCGGCTTGCCTTATACCTAAAAACTCGACGGCGTGTGTCAGGCACAGGAGGAATCATGAAACAGATATAGAAATGTCAGGTCCAGATCTGTAACTGATTTATTTTTATGTCAATAACTAATTTGAAGTACGGTTGGTTACTTATAAAATTCTTTAACAAATTCTTTGTTCTTCCAAAAACTGCTGTTTTTTAATGCTAATCTAACCTTGGTTGGATTTTATCAGTTTGTTCGGCAAGCTTAGCTCTGCTGAACTAAAAAGAAATCTACAGAAACAAAAGAATTACATCAATTTATAACCAGAAACACAAAACGCCGTAACAATAACTACGATATAATATAGAGTACGCCATACCAAAAACAATGTAATTACTGTGGTATATAGCTACAAGGACACAGCATATGGATTTTCCACTAATAAATAACACTATCTAATAATGCCTATTGCATATAAAAAGATCTACACAACGCTCAAAAAGTCGAGTTATGTCAAAAGCATTATAGGTTTAAATCTGGTTAGTTCTATTAGAATCTGAACTTAAACTCGGCCAGTATATTTATCACAACACAATGAACCAGTGACACGAACTCATTTCTTCAAGAAGTGTTAAATATGATAATTGGATGCGAAAATCGTATTTGAAAGTTTTCTCCGTTACGCGTTAGTATTCATTTGGATGTCACCAAGTTACAAGTAATTTATGTAAAAATGGAAAAGTTACTCTTTGGAATATTTGTGATTACGGTAAGTCTTTCAAGTTTTTAACTTTAATAGACAATTTTCCTCTGTTCCATTGACACTGGCTGTAAAATCATGTGGTGACTTTATACGATCAAGTTAATTAAAACATTTGGATCGTGCTTAACGAACTTCTTAAGTGTACATAACTAAATGAACTTAAGAATTCCCGGATTTCAAATGGCTAATTGATGTATTGGAAAATCAATGAGGAATAGTTCTCATCTGCAAAGTAATTAAAAGTATCTTTACCTTGTAAAATGGAAAGGTACATAATATACAATTGTTTATCTTCAGGTTTTTCCGGCTATTCAGTGCAGAGGACGTAACCACATATCCAGTAGACTCGAATGTGGTCCTTATGGCTTTGTTTGCGACGGGATTACTAGAGTGCGCATTTGTGAAGAAGGCAATGTTTTAGGTCCTAGCTTTCGTTGTCCATCTAACACTGTATGCAACGAAGAGTCAACAGACGTCTGTGAAAGCACTTTGAACTACATAGATCCAGTTATAACCAGAAACATCCGGTGCTATCGTAACGAACGCCTTGCTGACACCAGCGTTCCAGGCTGCAAAGGGTATATCATGTGCATTCCCAATAAAAATAGATTCCAAGGCCTGAAATTCCAATGTTCTGGACAAACAATATTTAACGGTTTCACACGAGCATGCACGTCACCAGAGAAATATAAATGTCCTCTTACAAATAGTACTAAACAAAATAAATTCTACTCGGAGCCACTCGGAAACCGTAAACCTATTAATGCATACGACCAGCTTCATAAGCCTATTGAATGTGAGAATTATAAATTCGCAGTGACAAGTGAAGACAGTCCATCACGTGTTACGTACTTTTGTCCCCAAAGACCACCTCGAGGAGAAAACAAAATTCGATGCACTGTATTTTCTAATAGTTTCTGCCTCGCACTGGAAAGAGACGATGAGGACCAATTTTTGCAAGGTGCGGGCTCTGCTTTTAGAAGGCCAAGAATTAATAACTGAGCTTAATTTCTAAGATTTTGTGAAAGTACTTTTATTTATAAGACTGAATTGTACCTTAATATTAACGTCTTTAATGTTATGTTATTAAATCGCAAACATTCTTCACTTTAGATATGAGACATACTCTGCGTTTTCCAATTACAGCACTAGAGCGCATTTTGCGGCATAATGCTCAACGTCGAGTGTTCCAACTACAGCAACGCTTCGCACAATTGAGCACTCTCAAAAAGAATGCTCTCGCGAGCTTCTCGCAAACAATACCAACACAGTGACAGAAAATTGACCAGTATTTTTCTTTAAGTTGGCATTTATCGAAATTTTCGTTAGTAAATATTATTTATTGTTGAAAAATTTGTAAGGCTTTCGTTTCGTCGTAGATTTTGAAAATAATTAAAGTTATTTCAAACTGCTAAAAAAAAAAAAATATTAGTATGGATGATAAATAGTTACTTTTTTAATATTCCACATTTAAAATATGAATACAATTTTATTTTAAAATTCGGATCTGTAAACAAATTTATTTTACAGGATTATACTTTAGAAAAAATTGCAATGGTTTTGAAAACTATTTAATTTTTTTAGAAATCATTAAAAAATATTACTTAAAACGTAAATGATGTAAACTTCTTACATGAAACTAAATATTTTACTGTTAATTTAGCTTGTTAAAACCTTATATTCTTCTAAAGGTTTTCTATTATTTCAATAAAAAAAATGTTAATGAAATAATTTGATGATTAAAATAAGCGTAAAAAGTTTTCAACCAATTATTATTGTTTACCACATTATTTATACATTAATCAGGTTGCTAACTCAATTCATAACATTTTTTTTACAACACTGACTTAGCGCACTCTGCTGATGCATTTGAAAACTAATTCACGTTCCAATTAAGCTTCAGAATTATGCGGCATTGTGCGGCACTGAGTCGCAAAATGCTCTGTAATTGGAAAACGCACACTTATTATAAGACATTCAAATAAAATCATACACATTTAACAATTATAACGAATTATATTTTACCCAACGTTAAATAGAAAACTACAATAAATAAAAGATTTGTGTACACTTATGTTTCACATTCATAGCTATCTTCATCGACACATTTTTTCTTCTTTTTATTAAAAACCTCATCCGAATCGCATTTTTTCTTCTTAAGTCGAATTTGTGATTTCGATATCTTTTTACAAACGTAGTATTTCCTACAATGGTTAGGATCAGGAAAAACTCCCTCTTTTTCGCATTTAAATTCAACATTCGTATTGCTTTCAATTTGCCCGGATTTAGAATCCGAGCTACTACTACTGCTTGATGTTGAATATGATTCCAATGTAAATGACTGCTTTTCAATAACAGGATCTTCAACACATGTTATGGACGTTCTATTTAAAAAGTATCCTTTTTGGCACCTAAGCTTAAACCTTACAAACTTGCTTTTGTGTCTTACACAAATATAATAAGTGTCTCTACTCCAAAGATCACTAAACCTTCCTGGAGAAACACATTGAAACTCGTTGTTTCTTACACAATGGGATAAATTTCGAGTGCATTGGTTTAGGATGTCACTGAATACGGAATTTTGAGGGCAATGACCCACTATAGGACTCATTGTTCCAATACACATGTAGAAAGTTTGGCAGTTGTATTGATCTGGATATTTACCGCTGTATCGATTCAAACAAGTTAAATTTAATTGTTCTGAAGTAATGGTAGGTGATGTTCTGTTACTTCGATTTGTGGTATCAGGTATAGTTTTGTTGCAAGGCTGACTAATCTGTACTGAGACGGTTTCTTTTTTTTCTTGTATATTTGGAAAAACGCTTTGCTTTTTTCCTATAGTTTCATGTCTATCTAAAGATATGTTATGAGCCAATGCAATAGATGGTGATTTCATTTCCGCAGCGTTATTTATATTTGACGCAATTGATATAACGGGTACTTTACTATTCAGCTGCGATGAATTCAGCGTTTTCGTACTGTGACTTACAACTACTGTTTTGTTTCTTGTAGCGTTAGTATTATTAACTTCCATAGCAGGTAATTTAATCGCATCACCTGCACCTTCAATCTTTGAATCTTCAGAGTATCTAACAACTGTCTTAGTGCCATTAATTATTGGGACTGACGGCACCCTCATTGATAACTTATGAATTGTTTCAGTTGTTATGTCTGGAATATTATCTGGCCATTTATTAACCATTGGGTAAGTATTTCCGACAAAAGAGTAGTGTTTATCTTCATATTTTGTCTTATTTGTTGGTTTTGATTCTTGTATATAATCTGCACTCTCTGTGATACCGTTATCTTGAAAATTACTAAGTGCATAGCTGTCAGTAGCGTTCACATATGAAGTAGTAAACATGTCATTAATAAATGTAAATAAATTGTTTACACTCGACCCATCTTGTGATATAGATAGTGTTGATTTCATTTCAGTTGAAGGTTTTGTTACAGTTTTCTCTAAATTGTTCTTATCATCTATTGTCACTTTTTCTAAGTTATTTAGATCAAATATTGTTGGTGTTGTAGAGGCAGTATCAGGGATTTTGTCATGATATATCACATTCATCTCCTTTGTAATTTCGTATTGGTTGTTATTACTTTCAGCATTATTTAGCCAGGGTGAAGTCGTAAATTCCGTTGTTTTGGTACGATCTTCGATACTGAAAGTATAAACGTCTGTGTTTCTTTGTTCACTGATTGTAGTTTCTTTTATATAAGTGTCCATAGTTTTCAAATCACTTATTAATTCTGAAGATGTTGTTTTTGGATCCTCTAAATCAGGCAAGGTTGTCTTTATATTAGATTTATAGTCATAACCCGGTGAAGAACTAGTAAGGGCATTTGATTGTGTGAAAGTAGTATAAAAGTTCGGATTTGTTTTGTCTTGGTTTTTATAGTTGCTCTGTTTCGTGTTATGGTCGTTATACCTTTCAGTAAAAACTGTATCATTTATTTTGATTTCAGTTACATTATCTAGGGCTGACAATATAGGAACGATTAAATTATCTTTAATAATGGACGGAGCTTCGATTGGCGATAAGAGTGAACTATCTGTGGAAATTTGATCTAATGGATCGGTTGATTCAAAATTTATCTCTTTTGAATCATCATTTGTCGAAGATGACACAATGTCATTAAATACAGTTATATTTTCAACCGATTGTTGCTCGTCGTTATGAATCGTTCCTTTAGGATTATAGGGACTCGTATTATCTTGCATTATATAACCTGTAACTTGAACTTTTGAAGTTGTTTGTTTTATCTCCGAGAATTTTTTATCGGTTTGAGATGACATTTCGTTCACCATTAAATCTCCATACGATACGTCTGTACTGGTAGTAATATCCTGAGTATTTTTTAATATAACATTGATATTTGCTTTTGGTGGAAAGCCACTTGAATGCGTATTTTCTTCTTCCTTATATGTTATTTGATTAACATCGTTATTAAATATTTGCGATACATATGGGCGTGTCATATATTTAATGCCTATAAAAGAACTCTCGTCTATTGAAGTCGTAGACTTTGGAAAGTATTTTGCCTCATATTCATCATTAATTATATTTTCTTTAGTTGTACTAACTATATTATTTATATATTCGTGTATATCTGTAGTCGTTGGATAATTTATATTGGTATCGATAGTATTACTATGATCAATTGCAGTGTCTTCGGTTTTTCCATAATTAATTGTAGTATCTTCTTCTGTAATTTTTGGTATTGAATTATTATATACATAGTCCTCTGTATTTGAAGCATCAGTTATATTAGTCATGAATACATCTTTAACTATCCTATTTTCCTGTTGAAGTGTTACTGATGGGGTCGTTGTGTCAAATTTATTGTTATTTATGTAATTGTTCAACTCTGTAGTTATTTCATAATTCCTATTAGTGTTAGTTACTTCGTTGGGCATCTCCCCTGCCTCCTGAAATGCTGTTATTGGACTAAATGTATCTGCATAATCTGAGTAAGTATTCAAATATTTATCTATGTCTGTAGTCAACGAGTAACTTATTTCTCTGTTAGTTGTTCCTTTAATTTCCTCATTTTCTGTCTCTTGCACAGTTGTCGTCAGCTTATCCAATGCAAAATTTGTGGTTTGAGTTATTCCATCTGGCCAAAAATCTAAATTTAGAGGTGCAGATGTAGTGGCTTCTTCTTGATATGTATAAAAATTTAGTATTGGAGGTTCTTCTTTAGTAATTATGATATTATTGCTGGAAATATGTTCATCGATATAGCCAGTAGTAGGTTGAGTTTCATCATAGCGCGTTGTCGTTTGTGTAGTACTTTCTGAAAGAGTAGTTGTACTCACAGTATCAAAATGATTATCATATCCGCCTGATGCATCATTGTTTACTACTACTTTTACCTGTTGACTAGATATAGTAACGTCATCTGTTATAGTATAAAAAGTCGGAGGTAGAGTACTTTTGTCCTCTTGTGTAAATGTCGTTCTCTCTATATTAATTTCATCATTTATTTTTGTTTCAGTTGTGGATTCTTGATGTGTCGATGTTTCAGGTAATGTTTCTCTTGTTGCCAACTGATCATCTAATATATCGTAATATTTTTCGGACTTTACAGAATCCTCTTCACTGTACCGAAAGGGTAAAAACGTCGTAAAATCACTGTCATCCCGCCATGTTTGTGCATTTAATACAGTTACAGGTACTTCACTCTGCAAAATTGGTTTTGGAGTGGTCGTTGTGTGATATTCGCATTCAAAAGCGTTGGTTTCTATACATATTGTCGGCGGTGGGCACGGAATTATAAAATCTTCCACAGTTGTTGAAACACCGTCGCCTAAATCCAGGCATATCATGAAGTGAGTTGAGTTGAGGCAGTAGAAAGCTTTTCCTTTGCAATCAGAATTGATAGCACTGATAAACGTCACTTGGCTAATAACCACTGCCTGAAAATTGAAACGATTTTAAATAAATACATTTACATAGTAAAAACAATGTGTTAACACGCGTTAGAAGTTATACTTCTTTGGCGTAACAAGATAAAAATCTTTTTAAAATATTTATCTTTCGCCTTATTCTACGTTTGTAGAAAAAACGACACTAACTATGGAAAAAAGTATTTAATACATAGAAAGTTATTTATAACGCAATCTAGTGAAATAAAGTTTATTTAAATATCACAAAAAATGATTTCTACATAATTAAAGAAATGGACATTTTTATTTTAAAATGTTGACTATGCTAACTTGAGGGTGTCGGGTTTTTTGTGACGGTGTGCGCGCGTATCGTAATAATTAACTCTCATCCATTTTCCCTAACGTGCCAAAAGAAGTATAACTTCAAAAAGGGTTTGGTAACGTACTTACCAAAAACAAGAGCACACACAGTTTTTTAATTTCCTTTTTCTTGTAAGCCATGGCCTCATTGTTATCGTTATAAAACCTACACTATTAAACACTCGGTTGTTTATAACGTCGTATCGTCTGCAGACTTTCCGTCAAATGTCTACCTCGTTTATTGAACTAAGATAATATGCATCATCAAGGCAGATATTAGCGCAAACTAAAATCATTTACATACACTGCCACAGTAAGATTACGAGTGATATTAAATAAATACATCTTGACACATAATTTGATGTGTTAAATATTGATGAAACACATTCTTAGCTGTAATACTCGTCAAGTTGTATGCCGCACATAACAAAATATCAAATCTAACACACAAATATACAGTAGTAACAAAGTTCAATAGACTGTATGTACCTACATATACAGTAATAATAATTAAATATTGATAAATATAAAATCAAACAAATTTAAAAAGTTTGGTCCCTGTGGCAGTGTGCCTTTAATGCTGGCAGCATTTACTCGCTTTTTTGCTTACGTTGAGCGAGACAAGAACCAGCTCTGGTGTCACCGGTACTATCTACCAGGCGCCTACTTTAATCTTTAATTAGCGCTTGTGTACTTGAACCCCTCGGCCTTAAAGTCTCTACTCCAAAGGGAACAAAATCAGAGTTGAAGACAGACTCTTATCTGCGTCTGCACCAGCTTTTGGGCTAACGTGTCACACAAGAAGGATCCCATACTGGTTAGGAAGTCTGTCCTATCCTCCATGGGATTAAAGACATCACATATTATGTTCAATGAATAAAAGTTATTCTATATCAATAGTTTATTGTATTATGAATGGAAAATCCGAAAAGAAAGCCAAAGGAACGATATTAGTCACAGTATTAAATTGGAGAGTTTGCTTTAATGTTTTTAAATATTCTGTTCAAATTATCAAAGTTAAAAATCTTAGTAGCCCGAGATAACTGAATACGATAATATCATTAAATTTTTTTCATTTCCATTCGATGTTTACTAAAGTGATTACATTATGAGCAATCATTTAGAAAACAAATTACAGAACACTACGTATGAGGCTTATAAATTATAAAGGTTATTTCATAATAACCTGAGAATATTATTGATATGGTATGATATAAATGAAGACTTACATGCCTCTTATAGATTATTATAGTTAATTCTGATGTGATTTAGACTTTGAATCGCACGTTATCTTCTCTATTTTATATTTACCTAGCTGAGAACTTCGTTTCGACGTAATATGATTTTATTACTTCGCCTACCTTTTTAGTAGCTATGTTTCTGGAACATTTTGCTATGCTACCCTATAGAGACTATTCGTTTCTTCCGGAATAAAAACTTATGTACTAATTAAAACTAATTTTTTCTATTTTTTATATGTTTTTCCAATTTTTCTCCCCATAAAAACTTCATGGAATAAATAAATAAAAATACACCTATTGGTTCAGCCGTCTTCGAGTTTCGAGTTATTGCGATTAATTTTCATTTATATAGATTAAATTAATATAATTAAGAATTTGCCTTTGATTTTATTTGCCAAACCACGCACTATAATTAATAATATGCAGAAATGATTTTTATTTTAATATTTATATTGGAATTGTAATTCTACTAAAAACGTATTTTATAATACATTAATTATAATTTTAATAAATATCAATGTTGGTTTGAGATTTGAAACTTTAATTCTCAATTTTAACTTTCTGAACGCAGCTTGACAATTAATGTTGATGTTTTACGGGGAAATTCAATTTTCCAGTTATCATGGATTTTACCACACTATATTTCATTACGTAAATATTTATTCTAAACTAGTGTATCTTAGCCTGATCATTAGATCGCTATGATTTTAATGTTTTAAAAAAACACTATACTAAAAATATTAATGTCATAGTTTGTCTTTACGAAGGAAAGGTATACTCCTATAGTTTATTGATGTCGTTTCAAAACAATATCGTTGAAATGTCCACCGTATTCTACGAAAAGCGATTCGAACCGACAATGACCTTGATTCCTTGGAATTGCTTAGAGATGTAGGGTCTCTCTGCATCTTCTACCGTATTTATCATGAAGATTGTTCAGAGTAGTTGTTCGTATAGTACCTGGTAGGTATTATAGTGAGTTTATCATCGGATGTCGAGGCAGGATACGAAATTCCACACGTACCTCGACGTCCGTCGACAACTGGACGTTCTTGCCACGCACCACCACCATGTGATCAATGAAGTATTTCTGAGCCAATGCGACCTGGAATCCTTCAAGAAAAGAGCGTACCAATTCTTAAAAGGCTGGCAACACACTTGCAAGCTTTCTGGCAATGCGTGTCCTTGGGTATCATTTAACATCAGATGAGCCTCCTGCGCGTTTATAATTGCTTTGTAATATGTTTTAAACATATATATTTTTCTCATTTAAGTGGCATATATATTTTTTTAATGAGAATAAACTCCTTTAAACCCAACACTGATTCTTCAATACTCTATACAAATACGAAGATTTAGCTGTAGGCGTATTTTTGTGACCCTTATTTTTGGACAAACAATAGGCGCATTTATTCCTACTATAGTTAAAATTTGTTTTGTTTCATTTAATATTTTTAAGGAATCGACAGGGATCGATGGGGTATTCACCGTGTGCCCCTGTTAGCTACTAAGCTGGATAGAGAAATACCCCATATTATCCTCCTTAAATACTTAATTTATTACTACGGTAATAAGGAAACCAGGTGTTAGGTGAAAGAAAAAGAACCAATGATTTAACATTTTATATAATTTCTTAAATAAACAGTATTCTTATATTTAATTATATACAACTTTTCATATATTATCCTATAGTTTCTTCATGAGGGTATAAAGTTAACCAGTGGTGCTACAACCTCCTAGGTCTGGGCGTCAGATTTCTATATGTTTCGTGATCATTTGTTTTTGTAATAGGCAAGTAGAGGATCAGCTCTCTGTGTCTGACACACATCGTCGTATTAGGTTCAAGACATGCCGGTTCCCCCAGCCGCGGATCGAACCTACGACGTCAGAGTGATAGCCTCACGCACGAGCCATTAGGCCAACACTGCTCTTTTAAATATTACTTTACTTTTTAAATGCATAGGCATCAACAGTTCAGCGGTTCAAGTCATAACTGAAATAGATATGGCTTAACAAACTCATACATAACGTATAGTACAGTAATTCTACATTTTTTTGCCTAATTCTGGTTTTATATAAAAAAAAATACTGTATATTTTAGTACATTCTTATATTATGAGTTTGAATGTAAACTGATTTTTCTCACTTTGTTGAAGTAAATCGATACACACGCTATGGCGAACCAAACCATCGTTATCACAGCTAAAATAATACCCAATATGAACATGACAAGTTTAAATCCTTTCTCCACATCTATTAAAAACGTGAGTGCTAAAATAAATACAGCTAACATAATTGCGGAGATGGTTTCTAGGGCACTGTGGAGTTTAGGCCATTTTCGGGCGCCGACATAATCCTGGATTGCCCCTTCCCAACATGATGTTACAGCGCCAAAACCAAAACCGGCGACAATGCAGCCAATAGAATATGAATCGTGGTTGTTGTCTGCTGCCAGAACTGAAAGGTAATCATTCTGATTCACTGTTAGTCTGATGTGAGACTTAATTTATGTCCAGAGACGTGCGTGCGTATATATGAAATTGGTTTGAACTAGGATTATTATCTATAGGTACTAATATTTTAGAGAGGAAAGATTTGTTTATATGTTTACATTGAATAGGCTCCGAAACTACTCGACCGATTTAAAAAAAATCACCATGAACATAGGCTGTAAAATAGTTTAAAAAAATTTATGGTTTTGTATGAAATTTCAATAGTGTTACTAAGGTGTGAAAAAGCGTAATAAATCGTGCTACCACCGAATTAATGGGAACCGCAAAACACAGCTAGTTCTATAATATTAGTAAAACCTACTAAATTTGTTCTTAATATAAAATAGTAATAATATTTCTAAGGAAAATAATTATCAATTAAAATGTTTATAATTCACGCTCTTCAAATTATAAAATGGTTCTTGTTTCGACTAAGGTTAAGGTTCTTTTCAGTAGTATTAGCAAATACTAAGTCATCTACTTATGAGGTAGACAAAATATTATGAAAATAAAAACCAAGATCGGTTTCACCCCTTATTCAAAAAGAAATCCGTTCAAATGCACGGATTCAACTATCGAACATCTGTCACTTTTCATCGCATCGTAAACACAATTTGAGACAGTTTTTCAGTTAAAAGAGAGCAATTTAGAGCGATTTAGTTTTTTATAAATAAAGGAGTAAAAGTTTAATTGCGAGTATAAAAAGATTTTCATAAAATACTTACGAAACGCTGATGCTGTAGATATGAGCAGACCCAGCACTACTATATATTTATAATTCCTCTTAGGTGTCTGCGCTAACCACGGAGTGCAGACCAAGAAACATAACCATGTAAACCCATGAAGAGACATCAAAAAGTTCATTTCCAGAACCGAAATCTTCGGCTCCACCTCTGACGCCAACATTGGCAACAACACTAATGATATTGATAATAAACTTAATCTAGAGAAACTTAAAAGTAACGCTGGATAAAACTTCCCACACGTCAGAGATCTTGTTAATGGTTTAATAAATGTATCGATTACACTATACGAAAGATATGTGAACCTCCGTCTGATTCTGTACATTCTATATGACGGTAGCAAAATCTTTCTTCTCGCATTTAAATACGCTGATTGGCATCGAAAACTAAATGAATTCAGAATCCTCTCCGTCCGTATATCTGTTATTGGTGTCACAGTTTCGTATTTTACTTCTAAGAATTCTACAAATGATTTATTACTATCTTCTGGCTGTGAATCTCTCCTCACTTGATTTGTTATACACCCGTCAATATTATCTCCTAAAGTGCTCAGTCTTTTAATGGCTACACTAAAACGTCTCTTATTGTTCGTGTCTTTAGTGTATTGTTCCTCACTTTCTTCCTCGCTTTCTTCAGGTATTTGCGGTAGAATATCAACGCCAAATATGTTCCGTCGTTTCTCTTCAGGACTAGGAGGAGGTGTTACAGTCTCTGAGACGTATCCATCATCACAAATCTCTCCTGTCTTATGCAACTGATCGTCTGAAGGACTTTTCCAACTTTTATTGTTTAGATTGTGTAACTGTAGTTCGGTTCCATAGGTGCTTTCCATTGCTTCATTTCTGTATACCATGTATGTTTGAGATAGGTCTTTATATCGAGAGAAGGACGCGGGCCGTCTAATGTTTTCGTCTATTTTCAGATACATGATTGCTACCAGCGATTGTAGCATGATGCCCGCTATCACAATATGTGAAAGGGAATAGCTATAGGTATCAATTAACGCTGTTAGTATGTGTGGAAATATTGACAGTCCAATAGCTTGGCCGCAATAGCATATCCCCCGAACGGCTACTACGTGAGAATCGTAGGTTTCAAATATAATTGCATCCATTTGTGCTGATATAAGCGAGAAACCTAAACCTGAAATGAAAAGTAATATTCTATTTTAATCGTTATCAAAAGATAAGACTATCGCTATAGATGTCATGACGTCACTAATGCTGAATCATTTTTAAAGAAAATAAATCTCGCGAAATTATCGATAAGTAACGTATTTGATGAATGAATAATTGTTTTGTAAAACAGTTACAAATTATTCAAAAATTCATGCATAAAGATAATTTATATTGGGAGATTTATATTCATAGATTGTGTTAATTTCTTACCGCAAGAAATGCCATAGACAAATGACTGCAGTTCATAAGGTATGAAAGCACAGATAAGAAGAGCAGAGACTACAAACAAGAGACCAATGGTTGCCATCACTCGATAGCCTATAGATCCGCCCCAAGAGTCGGCAGCTTCCCTGAACCAACATTCTGAAAATTGGACGTAAAATTGCTGAAATATATGAGTCTTTCTTAAAAAAAAAAGAGTCTTTCTTCCAACTTCCATTTTGTTTGCTTTTGAGTGGGACTCTTGGGCCGTGGGTTTCAAGGGCACAGGCGTAAATTAAAGATTTAAGTTGGCGCCTGGTAGATAGTACCGTAACTCCAGAGCTGGTGCTTTCCTTGCTCAACGAATAAGTATCGCAATGCAGCGAGGAAATGCTGCCAGCGTTAAAGGTACACTGCCACAGAGTATTTAAATTTTTAAATTTGTTTTAATTTTCTTTTTAATTATTTTTATTATTACTTTGTAGGTTAAGAAAATTGTAAATTCTGTATATTTGATTGTATAAACTAATAATAACACTAATAAATATTAATTAATAATCTAAAACCATTCTTACATTGCAATGCTGCTAGCAATAAGTTGAAGTAGCTTTTAGAGACTAAAACTGCCTTTTTTTTAAATCCAAACAGATAGGTGTAAATACATTTTTATGTTTTGATATGACAAATAGTGACCAGCGATAATCTCACTATTACTAAAACAATTTTTTCGATTCGATATTTTTTTTATTTTAGACATGGTCACGAGATTCACAATACGTAATTTATTTTAACCTTATTTTCTACAATTACAGCGACCTAACACTAATTTGATAAAAGAAAAAAATAACCTAATTATCATAACAAATAATGGACAATGAAACTTCTGAGAATTCGGTGTTAAACTGTATTTAAAACAACGTTAATAAGTTCGCAATACATGCGTAAATAGTACATCTCTGACTAAGTGCGCGCCCGCGGCACAGCCAGCAATAGTTTCCCATGCCTAGCGTGTTAATCGATACTCGCAGGCCTAACCTCTCAAACACATCCTCATGTACTCTACCCGTAATGATTTCAAATAGTTACCGAGTCATATCAAGATCCCTCCCTATCTACAATTTTGCGCGCCATTGTGTGTGGCAGAATATGCGAATGATTTACGATTGTATCACCTTAACATTTTGTACCATATTCTTGCAATAAATAAATTATTATTATTATTACCAATAGATGATTCTATTCAACCAATCCCAAAACGAATAATATCAAATACATAAGCGGGTAAACTCTATACTCATATAGATATAAGGCACGCACAATCGAGTCCATTATTTTTTTAAAACAATCGCCCATTGCTAGTCCCTGACCTTACCTAATAATATACCAATTGAATAGATCATGTAACAATGGGATATAACTTACGTGTAAGGTTATAAGTAACCATAAAAATGGATGGTGTGATGAGACCAAGCCATACTGGTCCTTCGAAACTGGATAAACTGTGCACCCACAAGACGCCATAGGATAGTACTAAGCTCGGCAAACATATCTGAAATAACATTATTAAGACAAAAAATTTTATCTTTATTAACAATACTCATATTCTCTTTTCGTATAATAATTATAATTCCTACTGGATCCCGCTAACGCTATAAGGGTCTTGACTTCAGATTGCATCAGTGTCTTTGATCATTTTGACGTGACAACGTCTAATAAATCGATGAACGCCGCGTGCACGCACAAAAAAGGATGACTCATTGTCCCGTTACGCTCATTGTACGCTTGCGCCGCATATATATCTCTTCCACTCGATTAGCCTATGCGTACGAGGATTCACTCTTTCTTTGTATCCTTACAAACTAGTGATAATTCAATTTTATTCATAAAAGTATGCAATCATTTAATTAATGTTTTGATATGACGTCACGTTAAACTATCGTCCGTAAACCGACTTTACAGTCAACCAATTTTTATTTCATAGACGTGTAGGTGACTAGTCTGACACGTAGGCGAATTTGGGATTTGAGACATGCCGGTTTCCTTACGATGTTTTCCTTCACCGTACGTATTGGAAGCGCACATATATAGAGAATCGGTGCACGGCCGGGATCGAACTTACAACCTTAGTGATGAGAATCGCATGCTGATGCCACTAGTCCAACACTGCTTAGTCTTGTTCTCTCTTCTTTTTTTATAGTTTACGCAGTATTGAGTATTGTTTGTTCTACAAATTATAGAGAAGTTATTAGACACGGATACGCTTGACACGTTCCTAGTAAAAGTTAAGATAAAATATTTGTATTTTTATTAAATTTTAATTGAATGTCATTGATTTTTTCTTATTTAAATTTAGTTTTTTTATGATATTTTTTCTGATTCTTTGTATATATATAGTGTATACTGTAAGTGTGAGTGTTTGTATGTACCTATTGGTAATTTTTTTGAAATATAAGTATGTAACGGGATAAATAATAATAAATTAGTAATAGTTTTCTGTACATTTTAAACTGCAAAGAATAAAATATGAATATAGTCAGCGCACATCTGTTAATTTCGTTAATGTACATTATGCCCACATCCTTTTCTCAACCAACAATTATCAAAATCAGTTCAGTTGTTTTGATGTATGGGTACCCAAGCATTTCTGGACGAAATATTAAATAATATAGTTGACAGATATTTGTGTTTAATTTAATTATTCTAAATAACTTTTCTGTGGTTTAGTTGTTGTCTTTTTTGAAAACTATTACCAAAGACAATTAAATTCTATCCCACAGAATATATTATATCCGTAAATTAATTTCATAAATTCCAAACACAATAACATTACGATTATATTTCGACGTTTGTAGATAACAATTTCTTTATCTTAATAATCTTGACGTCACCAAAATATTTTGTAATTATCCATAACCAATGAATCAAACCCTATATTATCATGTTTTAGTTAACGTATAACGAATTGCATTTTAATTATACAAAGCACGTGATCACATGTTTTTATAGATAAACAATGAAGCTAAATGATTGGTTTAATGTTTTACGTGTGTAATAATGAGTAGCAAATTACTAAAAAATGTATTCTTCACTTGTCTTGAATCACGCCAGTATCAGACGGTTAATTGAATTAAGACGCGTTAAAATGTCACATTTTTGTAGTAGTTAACCGTTGACCCGTGGCTCATCGCAGGGACAACCGTGACCGACACCGTGAACCGAAACTTAGAAAATTATACACCTATACCTTTCTTATAAATCATTCTAGATATTGATCAAAACCGCAATAAAATCCGTGCCATAGTTTTTAAGTTTATAGCGAACATACATGTAGACGCGGCAGGGGGCTAGATTTTATATAATATACCTACCTACTTGTAAAAGTAAAACAAACGCTATCTTTTTTTTTACGCTGACTTTGCTGTATCTAATCGTTAAGACAGCGATCGTTAGAAACGTTTTCGTTTGACCGTTTTTTCACCGAATTTGCAAATCCGACTACCACAAAAAAGTATTTTTATTTTTCAAGTAAATAATTAGCCAATGACAGTCACAAATAACGTGGCAGTTTTCAAAATCGGTTCAGTAGATCCAGAGATTACCGCCAAGCAAGCTACAAGCTTTACGTCTTGCGTAGCACACAAAGGCGTTTGGACAGTTATTTAGCGTCAAAATCATAATTAGTTTTTGAATGGACCTTGGACCAAAAAAGTTGACGGCGTGTGTCAGACACAGAAGGCTGATCATCTAGTTGCATACTACAAAAATTAGTATCTCTAGGAACAATTTAATTCAGCATCGAATCTGTTGAAACGCCGTCAATATTAAGAATTATATATTTCAATTGTTTATACATAGCAGAACCGCAATTAAAATAGGTATAAGTACTTGTTACTACACGATTAGTAAGTGCCTATTAATAATTCATTAGTTCAACAAATAAGATTGCGATATTTTCTACATCTTGTTATCTGTCACCTGTGTATATTGACGGCATGATAACGTCCAACTGACATGGCCTCGGAGAGATAAAACCATTAGCCATTAGAACTAAATAACAAATCTAATATTGTTTATGTCGGAATGTCATGCAAAAATATACTCGCAAATAGCTTTACAAGTAATCTAGAAGACTTTTTAGGAGAGATAAATAAGCGTTATCTCTAAATGAACGACTCTGAGTAGGGCTGTGAGGCCTATTGTGTTAAAGATAATGTTTAAGAAGAGGTCCTTAGAAATGCACCTAGCTTGTTCTTGAAATAACTATTATGTACAGTGTACCTACTTATATCTCCTATAATATTGTAAAATTTTTCTACTTCAAGCCAAATTTGAAATAAATATTAAATTAATAGGTATCTGAGTATCATTGAAATGCGTGATTCCCTCGTAGTTACGAAGCATACGTCGTTCTAATTATCTATTGACGCCAACTTTTTGACAACAAAGATATTAAAATGATATGATTCAGGACTTCGAAAAAGACGAAGATTGGCTCGCCTGATATTCCTTGTCAGATTTTTATTCCTATTAGATTTTACGTAGCTTTAAATTGTATATAATTTCAGAAACCATATCTTTCAATGTTCCTTTGTGTTATTTGTTTTAGTACGTCGTTAATAGTTGTTATTTAATAGTGACGCATATGAATTTCCGTTAGCATACATAAAATATTTATAAAGGATTACCTGTTTACATTTCACTAAGTTAATATTTTGCAATTGTTACTCACGTTCAAGAATATAGCTGATATAAGAAGTGACCAGCGCCACCCAGCGCTTTCTTGTTGTCCATTGAAATCCATTCAGGAAGTTGTCACGGGCATTTTACTTTAGCACTGAATTAACGTATCACTAGGCGGATCTTTTACATTATACTATTGAAAATACATTTTAAGAGAGCATGTCGATGTATCGACGCTCTTTAGTTGCATTGACAGAATTATCGGGACACGGCTACTTACTGTTATCTTATCGTAATTATTTTGTGGTTAGCATGTGTCTAGAGAATGCATTGTGAAAAATGATTCTTTTCCAATAGCTTTAAGTTAAATCCAGGTTTTGCAAAAGGCTTTTCTCGATTGTGTGTTACTATTGCGTCAGGGATCATTATCAGTGATTAATGACTTGTTGAACGTTGATGTCCAAAATTTAAATATTCGCGGCTGTTTCGCCGTACCTTATCTTTTCCAATGTAATCGGGCAGAAACTAAAATTAGGGAGGGGCTTATATTGATCGCTTTTTTTTTGAAATATCGCGGTCTTTTTTAATTTTACGTATTTGTTGATACGATTTCCTTGACCATCTATGTGGGCAATGATGCTAATAAAGTATATAATAATTATAATAAGTAGTAATTAAGAATTTGTACAAAAAGAGCATGTCTTTACTTTTGAATCCGCTAACACACCTACAAATCGGACATACATATCTATTACTAGCGAAATATTTTCTCATTTTTCTGTGCCTGTATTACTATTACAACGTCTATTTGAATTTTTTTTCAATGTGTGCGACCCGTGCCTTTTTTATTTTAACCTTAGAAAATCATATACAGTCGCCCACGCCGGGTCAATAAGTTAAATTGATGCGGATGTCGGTCCGGGAGGTAAAATACCCAGTAATATGTGACCAGTGCCTACATTAACATTAACCCACTTCTTTGACAAAAAATAATTAGGTAAATAAAACTTGAAGGTCACTTGGCCGCAATTGATTTCATGAATTTTAAATTTATATGAAAAGTTAAGTAGGTCATTACTATTACAATTATTTCCGCATATAGTAGGGAAGCTATAGAAATAAAAATATGGACTCAGTATTGGCTTCTAGACATAATTTTTTGAATTAGTCATGAAAATTATTTCACAGGCACATAGTTAAGTTCAATCCACAGAAACTTTTAATTTAAAATGGTTTCACATGCATAAAATATGTGTCTTATATTTTCAGTTCAGTTTTGTATTAATGAACTGAATGAATGTACCAATAAAATAAATGAATGTTTATCTTTGTATAAGAAATTGTAGTGTTGTTCTTAATTATAACACAAAGTAAATAATCATTCCCTCGGAATGTACATTTAATCATACTATCAATTCATCTAAAATAAATTAACTACAAACAAAAATAGTTATTCAAACTTTTTCTTAAGTTTTTGCTTGAGTAAAACAGGTACTAAAGAGATTATGGCAAACAGAGCTAGTACAGTCATGGAAGTCCATGACCATGCATCACTGGTTGATGTCAGAGTGTGCAACGTCTGACCAGCTTGTATGGCAACAAACGATGGTGGGGCGACACCTAAAAAATACACATTATTGTGAAATCATACTCATAAATAAATATTACTTCTTAAATAAATAGTATGCTGAGTGACTTCAGCATGCAACTCTCCCTGAAATCATAGGTTTGAACCCCTGCTTGAACCACTGGATTAATTCTATGCACATTATACGCTTGCTTGCATGGTAAAATAAAACATCATAATAAAACCGGAATGCAATCAAGAAGAGCTTTAGACCTAAAGATCTACTTTTTGAAAAAAATTATCACAGAACACATACACAAATCTAAGACCTTACCAAGGGTTGTAGCGCCACTGTCTTCTTTACTTTCATAATTGATTGATACAGAATTGGTTTATTATGTCTATAGTTACTGAGAACCATTAAAAAAGTGTCTATTTCAGTGCCAACAACTATATTACTGTTCAGCTTTAGCACATAATAATTCAACATTAATGGTAATAAGGAAACCATGTCAAAGGCTTAGCTTTTATACTTACCTATAAAAGTTCCCAAAGCAAAAGGCACCAATGGAACTCCAATGACAGGTGCAGTCAAGTTAATAAACCAGTTAGGTAAAAATGGTGTGACCCTCAAAAATATCATGTAATTGAGCAAATTGTGTTTGTGCTTTTCAACAGCAATGGACCACTGTGCCGCTCTTTCAGGAAAAAACATTTTCACAACTCTTTTGCCTAGTATGTTTGATAAGAAGAAACACAGGCTTGCTCCAATAGCAGAACAACAACATACTAATATTAAGGCAAAATAAAATGGAAACAGAAATCCTGAAAGTATACTGAGGAATAAAGAGCCTGGGATTGCAAATGTTTGCAAACTGAATATTAATTATGGAAGATTATTGAAGCATAACAATTTTTAGATTGCATGTGACAAAACATTGATATAGTACATAATGTTTCTACATAAAAGCTTTAATGTAAAAAATTCATCTCTAATTTTAACATGGCTATACATAACCCATAGCCTAATTTCTTATTCAATATAAGTATTGCATTAAGCATTGACTGTTAAAAGGATACAATATATAGACCAAAAACACTCCTAATAATACTTCATAAAAATACTTTTCTTTATATCTATCTAAAACAAGACCAAGGTGTTTTGCGTCATCAAGATCCCATGGTAATTTCAAATGTTGTCTTTCTTGACTGGAATGCCAAAATAATACAATGAAATTTATTATATTATATAAGTAGTTAGTTATAGAAACATCATAATATATGAATAATAAACATATCCACAGCTGATAAATTTTAAAATGTGGATTGTATGTTGTCTTAAATGTATTATTTCAGCCAATGCAAGTCATTAATTTGGCTATAAAATACTTTTTGATAGGAGCCTGTAATAATAACTTAGAATTATTTATTTTAAAGTACAAGACAGTCTTAAGTTGAAAGGAATATATACATACAATATATTATATTCCTCCTTGATTGACATAAGTTATTGAACCTCTAGCAAGAAATATATGAAGAAAACAATAAATGTTACAAAAACTTACTCTTCCAAATCAGGAAATTGTTTATAAAGAAATCCCAAAGCCAAAACTGAAGACAAAAAGATAATTGCTACTATTATCACAGCTTTTGATGTTGACAAACTGTTATTGTTGACTGCAGTTTGTGGGTCTGTAAAAAAATTACTATTCATGATAAGTATATTTAAATAACTAACTAAGTTTACTACATAAAAAATACTTAAACAATGAACCATTATGTTGTGACTTATACAGAATTAAATACTGCTCACTCTAATTAATATATGGAATGGTTCGGTTTTTGAAAATTGGTACAGAAAAGTTATTAATATTATATCACTGATGTGCTCTTTTATGACCAATTATGGCTAGATAGATAGGAATATAGGAATGAGGTAGGTACTTTGAACAGGGTAAAGCAATCCAATGCTATCCTTTTTAATAATGTGAGCTGGATTCTTCATAGTAGAAGATATTGATGGATCTTGAATAATAACTTCACCTTGGAGACAATTCAATGCCCGATTTTGTCTTCGATTTGAAACATTCATTTTTATATATTTATAGGCAAAAGAGCTATGCTTGTTCCATGCGTTTTAAGAAATTTAAGCTAAAATAATTTATAAAAGTTCGACAATATCTAAATAATACAAAATTGGATATAGTTGTGAATTGCTATTACTAAATACTAATTAGTAAACAAAAAGTAATTAGGGGCTCCCGGCTTAGTCCAGTCTATACTCTATGCCTTAATTGCCTTATGGTATGGGTTGGGCATACCCAACAATATAGCGTGTCATAACACGCAGGATTTAGTAATGACAAACCGGCTGGCGGCTACATTTGTCAATTTTTCAATCACAGAAAATTATATACCACAGACTTCTTTTAGAACAAGTGGCAAGGCTTATCTGAATTTGAATGATAGATGAAGTTCAGACTTATTCACTAACATATAAAAAAAATTAATTAAATTAGCGAAAAAAAACTCATCCGATGAGTATCGCAAAACCTGGAGGCCATCCAAATTCGATCTTCTATCCCATTTTCATAAGATCGATTTATATCAATGTGGTTGAAAAAAGTATTTTTAAGAGGCTGGTCCATTGATATACAAAAAACCCAAGATGCACAGTCTCGAATAAAAGTAACGCTCGAAAGTGTCCCGAAACACTATTTCTGTCTCTTTCTATAAGTTACAAGCATATATTATTGCAAAATCAACCTTACGCGAATTGTTTAAAGTTGTTATTACAACGCAGTGTACTTAAAGCAATAAAATTTTACGACCGACCGTGGTCGGTAGGGCAAGGTATTGAGTGGAGTCGAACATGACTTTTTTATTTACAACTATTTAACATAATTTTAAATTTATCCGACGTTTCGCGTGCTTTACAGCGTGCGTGGTCACGGTGACTGAAGACAAAAGGTGTTGGATGTTAAATAGTTGTAAATTTATAATAATACATAACTTTAATCCGGTTAAAAAGTTTTTTCTTTAAATTAAAAAAAATGTTAAATTGGCTACCTCCTGACCTACACTTTATATAGCGTAAATAATATATTTGTCAAAAACTACACACAAAAAAGTTCAAAAGTACATAAATTTATTTATAAAAAAAACACAAATAAATAACATCGACTCCACTTATTAGAACAGGGTCATTCTTATAATGCGACTAAAATAAAAAGAAGACTGTAATGCGTTGTTCTAACACTGAACAAGCAGCCATTGAAGTTGGCCGTATAGAAGTTTGTGCGTTGAATGAAGTTTTTAGAAAAAATAAATAAAAATCACACATTGCTTGTTATAATCAGTCATAAAAACAACAAAAACTAATCAATAAAGTTTTTTAATTACCGAAAATACGATATCCCATCCTTTTTTAGCCTTCTTGACGTTATATTTTTACAATTTCTCACAGAACACTTTGGCATTTTTAACAACTGCTCCCAGACGCGAGCGACGCGAGACTATTTGAAATGAGCGCACAATTTAGAATGTTGCGCTCATTTTTCGAGGACGTTTTTTAGACGTTGAGTGTACATCTTGGGTTTTTTGTATATCAATGGGCTGGTCTCATTTTTAAGGCATGTAGTATAATATTAAAAAGAAATAATAAGTAAGTTGTTAAATAGGGACAAAATATTTATAAATTATTTATAAGTACATATAAATTATGTAACATAAAAAATAACTTCTACCCGATATTTCATACCGACATTTTGATTTCAAACTATAATTTTTGGATCGTCAGTTCATGAATTTATGTTATACTTAATGTAAGAGAATAATAAGAAATATTTATTTATTTAATTTTTCAAATGTAAACTCAACTTTATTGACTATAATGACTCCTTTTCCAGTGTTTGATTATTTAATTGTAATTAATTATTTGCATGGAATCAAAAACTATTTTTAATAACGCCAAAGAAGTATAACTTCTTACGCGCGTACATAAGTACACGCACCCTTTTTTTAAGTTGACCGATAGTCGCATCACAAAATGTCTTCTCTTTAAAGCATTCTCGACGCAAGGCCGGCTTGCAAGAGCGTTCAAACTAAGACTTGCTACCTCGGCGACAGCGCCAACAACGGCATTGGGATCGAGAGTAGGACGCAAAAAATACCGAATCCCATCCTAATTTGCTGACATGTAGTGCCACACATGGCCACAGCCTGCGAACCGAGGGCGTGTAGGGCGTGTGAACGGCACCGTGCTCCGGACCACGCAATGAGCCGATGAACCCAATAACGGGTCAACAGAGAATTGGTAGTTCTCCGGATGCGAAGTCAGCAGAAGGACCAACAAAGCGGGTTTATGCTAATTCACATCTGGTATTCTTATGATCGCAGGGACCATTTATGCCAAATCGTATGCCAATGCAAAGTTGTGAAAGAATCTGCCCGCGTGGTCGGTGTTCAGAGACGAGCCAACCGATATGGTGGGCGTTAAAATCGCCAAGTATCACGAGTTCAGCGGACGGAACCTTTTCAAGCAGGGAATTTGTAGATGTGCTCGATGAGTAAGTCAGTTTCGTCGTTTCAGCCATGGGACCTATATACATACACACGTAGAATCACGGATGATCATCGCAGGCTACGCGCAGCGGTTAGATAGGTCATTTTCTTCTGTAATGTTCCAAATTATAGTGTCCCGAAGTTTAATTCAATAATTATATCCGTCGCAGTTTTGTTGTAGGTATATAATGTTTTAACTCAAAAATGCGCTACACATAATATATTATCTTGATATTGATTAGCTGGTTATTGATATTATTTAAAAAAATATTTAAACAAATAATTAGATTTAAAATAAAATTATTAAAACATTTTATATAATATCAACTATTTAGTATTTATGTTAGATAATGTATAATGATATTAATTAATTTAAGGAAGACTATAGTTACAAAATATATACTTGACATAATTGTTCGAAAAGTGAGTGATAACTGACAACTGACATCTGAAAAGTGGACTAACGGTCGGGTGCACTGCGCAGAGTAGTGAACTGAGTTCTAACTCAAAGCGAGAGTTCCGAAGCGCAGCTTACTGTTACCAATTACCATAGCTCTATATTCTCTGCAGTCAATCGTACTAAATACTCGGGCGCAAACGCACCAATCGAACGGACCAACGCGTTTTTTTTAATTGTTATGATTTACATGAATTTAAATTACATAAACTGTAGTTATCTTCCTTTAGAAATTGTATGTTAAATAAACTAGTTGTTTTTTAGTTTCACTCTAATTGAGATGTAATGTTTTAAAAATATCAGCTAGGATTTATTTAAATTGAGATGCGGACCTTCCTGAAGACATAGCCAGCCTACATGAATCTAAGCATTAAGGTAATTAAAGTCAATCTATTTTAAACAATTATATTATTTAACCATACAAGCGCGAATTGTAAGATGTAATATATTAAATATACTTTTAGGGAGATCTTGAATATTTTCAAAGTAAATTTAAAAAAATACCAATAAATAATAACTAAATTTATATATTTCATGTGTTTATTATGTCTTAAATGTACCTATAATTCAGTTGCTATGCAATATTCGGGGTCCTACGTTAACAATTATGTAGTTTGTTAACGTTCTTATTTACCGGTTCCTTTTTTATTCCCCAAAATTAACATAGAGAATAGTATAAATTTACCTTCAATAATAAGCTCTATTTAATTAATATCAATTAATGTATTTTTCAATTATAGTGTATTCTGAAAACAATAATGCCCTACACTCAATAATACTATTTAACTGCCCATTCCAATAATTGTGCCCTTAATTAAGGACGAAACCCTATTTAAATATCTATATCTAAGGTTGCAAAATTAATAGCTGTATGAATTATATTAAAATCTGATTGGGAATTAAAATGGCAAGTTACTAAGCTTGCTGGAATTACAATGACTGGCAGTATCACAGTATTCTAGTAACTTCATACCTACTTATATGTAGAAACTCCAATTTACTGACAATCTAGTGAGAGACTTAGCAGTAATTGCCTCCCATTTTTCAAAAGCGAGTATCTATACATAGAAACGTATAAAAATATTTGGTTGTCATAGTTCGCGCTGTCTCGACTTTCAGAGTAGACTGTGACACTGAGACACCGTATCAAGCGACAAGTAGGTATAACTTATCTTAGTGTCATAACTTTAGCTTAGACTAGAAAGTGTACCTCAACAAACCTTCTAAACTAATTGAAAACCAGTATTTTGTCTCGTTTGCACTACGTTATCGAACTATTTTATTCGATATAAAATGCGAAAGCGAGCACGATGCATTTGTTTACTAATATTAAATTTAATAATACAATATTAGTATTGTTGTATTGTCCTTGAATTTTATAAGAAAATCGAGTTTTTGTATTTGGTTTTCGTCACCCAAAACTCAGTTTAAACACGGAAGACCTACTTGATCGTTGAGTAAAATACTTACTGCAATCAAGGCCTGCTTCATGGCTTACACAGTTTCATTTCTGAACTTCACAGGTAATGCGAGGAGGAATATCAATATGCCTGCTCATCAGCACTCTTTCGCTCGCACCCGCGCTCGGTAGCAGAGCCTGCGAGCGTGGAAGAACCTGGTGGCATCGCGAGAATGGCATATGTATGCCATGCACTCGCTGCGACCCTCGCCGCCTTGCTGTCAAATATCCCTGTGAAGTACACAGGGACACTATATGCCAGCCTTTATACGAGGTCCGCATCTTTCCATTCAATACACCCCGGAAGGAGGACTCAAACGCGAGTGACACAAGTGATTACGAATATTATGAATACGCGGATTACGGTGAAGTGACTGAGAGTGATGATATCGTGTGGGACGTACAGACGTCCACCTTGACTCTGGCTGTTAGTGGATGTGTAGTTTTCTTTGTGGTGGTGCTGACTCTCTCCTTCTACCATGCACGGCAGTGGCGTGCGCTCAAACAAGCTCTTAAGTCAGGTGAGAATGGCCAAAGAATTATTAATCAACTCAGTTATTGTTTGAGAAAAAAATTCTCTTCGAAACGTTTAAGTACCAACAAATCGTTTTATGCATTTCTTTTTAAAAGTATGAACTCATATAAACTGGCTTCAAACGAAAAAACACGATTCCTTCGTTTACTGATACGCGCGAAAATAAATTATTGGCCAAGATCCATATTTTGGCAGACTTATTTATCTGGAAAAGGCGCCAAGGAAAACTGTTAAGTTTCATCGCTGATCGCATTGTAATAAACAAATATACACTTTAATAATATATAAAGTACATACATTTTTTTTCGGGGTTGCTATTTTAATCTGGCAATCATTAAATATCAAATATACAGTATTTACAATTTTCTTAACTAAAAACAATAACTAACCTTAAAATATAATAACTAAAATATATTATTAAAAGGAGTCCCTTTAGGCAAGGTTCCGAAGATACTGGCAGCGTTCCCCCTTTGAATTGCTAGACTAAATCTTTGTACGAGGTAGCAGCCAGCTCTTCGGTCTCCTGTGATGTCGACTAACCTTTTAGCTATTTCCTTAAAAAGCCTTATAGCGCTAGGACCCCACGGACCAAGGGTCTCGACACCGAATGGGACAAAATCATATTCGGAGCCGAGATCCCTGTATTTGAATGCTTTAGCTTTTTCAGTCGCATCACAATCCGCACCAGCTCTTTTGTTGGTTCCATGTAGATGCGAAGGGGGCCAGTGTGGCTGAACAGGTTGCATCCCATATATATTACATACTATAATATACATTTGAAAATATCTAAATTACCAGGGAGGTAAGACGTGAAAATTGTAACTATCACGTATCACATTCCGTATTTCGAAGTTTTTAAGCAAATGTTAATTGATTAAAAATTCTTTAAACAAAAAAAAAGTATTGTTATCCTAAAAAAGTATTTATTCAATTAAATTCAAGTTTTATGAGAGAACTAAATTATATAACATTGATAAACATCATGCATCAGTTAAAAATATCCTAATCTATAAATCCGTAAGGTAAATCTCGTAAGAACACGCGTACAGTTTATTTATTCAGGACAACGGTGATCAAGCGACCTCCATGTATTATTGTGGGTATGTGGGCGTACACGAGTATGTAGGTAACGTTGACGAAACTGCACGACGTCCCGTGAATGTTAAAGATAAACTATTAAATAATCTCGAGTTGGACGGCAATCCTTCCTAAATTCTTTTAGTAGAATTTTGTCTGCGTGAGTCTAGAATATTAATTGCTACGTCTGCCTAGACGCTAGAGCATAGCTGAATGCGATTTTATTATTGAACTAGCGGAACTATTTGTTCTTTAATATTGTGGGACATTTTTTGTTCTATCATCAATAGTTTTCGCAGCGCATGCGATGAAAGATATTTTATAGGCATTTTTTTTACACCTTGGGTAACATTATTGTAGTTTTGTAGGGATTTTTATTTTTTGAACAATATCTATATTAATATATATTAATCAGTGATAATGCAGCATTCACATGGTGAAAGAATTTTTAAAATCGTCCAGTAGGTACTTTTTGAGCCAATTCGTTACAAACATCTTTACATCAAATCTATCATCTTTTAATATTACTAGCTGATCCGGCAAACGTCGTTTTGCCATATATATCATTTATAATAAAAAATAGGGGTTGATCGTAGAGGGGTGAAAATTAGGGGTTGTATGTATTTTTTAATGCTGTATCATAATTTTTTTTATCTAAATATTAAAATATAATAATTTAGGGGTGGACTACCCTTTACATTTAGGGGGATGAAAAACAGAAGTTGTCTGATTCTCAGACATACTCAATATGCACACACAAAGAATCGGTCAAGCCGTTTCGGAGGAGTTTAACTACAAACACTGCGACACGAGAATTTTATCTTTATAATATTATGTATAGATTAAGGGGTTCCTATATATGTTTTTATAAAAGTCCTCAAGAATTAAAGTCAAATCTTTGAATTTACTGTCTAAAAAAGATAAAATTTTAAATAGTAATGAGTATACAGCTAAACAGTTTTCTGACGATGTTTAGTTGGCTCCGTAACCAAGTGTAAACAATGTGTGTTTGTGAACATGTGCGCTACTAATTTTGACCTGCCCATCATAACAATAGGTAACGGCGGTTTTTGTGTGCATTTCATTATACCGAAATAGAATTGTGATGTTTGCGGACGTTTCAGATTATCACTGAAAATATTTTGATATACTGTAAATTTGAATACAAATTTGTTTGTTTCAATAACGTCTTTTTACTATAATGTCGAGGTTATTCAACTTTTTGACACGACAGATTAAAAAGGACTTAGTATTAGTACACGTTAGTCTTAAGTGCTAAACAGTGGTAAGTGTAAAAATAGAACACAATACTTTTCCCCCTTAATAGAGACTGTAAGTGCTATTGGACACTATATCCTTATTAGTAAATTGGTTAAAACTTATATTACTTATTAGTCTTAATGTAAGCCTAGATCGCAATTCCATGATGTCTCAGTGAAGAGACAAAATGTTTTAAATTTTGTAAACAAAAGGTGTATCAAAAATAAATGTATAATTATACAATACAGGCTATATACAACACAATATATAGAATTATGTAGGTAGATTGTTAAATGAAAGGTAAGAAACAAGTTTTCAAAACATTCATTGATTCATTTAAAAATGCGAGTCACAAATGCTCTACCCTAAAAGGCCGGTAACTGACCCATAGATCTTCTGATAATATCAATGTGTGTAGCCTGTGGTAGCCATTGTTACCTACAGAATCGTCCCTATTACATATATAAAAATACTGATTAAAATAACAATGTATTCTTGAATTAGACTGTGCTAAATGGAACAAGCTTATTCAAATATTTTTTACTAAGGTACATCCTTCTCTTTTCGCCCCATTGGTAACACAATTTGACAGAAAGAGATAAAATACTTTTTCCTAGTATACTGAATCGCGCCATTTCTATTCTCTATAACTTGACATATTCCGATTTTTATCTGTGGTAGCGCCGCGCCCGCTTTAGCGATTGCATTTTGGCGCCAAAGATATTCGACGAAAATAACTCGCAATTTTTTACCAAGCAACGTCGAGACGAGACTTATTCGATCTAATATGCATTATACATAGACCTAACCTCAAACTAGTAAGCTTAATCAAGACGTGTATGAAATTGCATATATAAATCTAAAAAAAATAGAAATACAATATTTTTATAATACAAATTATTTTTAAAAACTAATTACAAACATTTCCTTTCCCAACAAATAAGTAGTCTTTATTCTGTATCTACTTCCCGAATCGCCACCAAAATGTTGTATCATTTAAATATAATTGTTTAATTCGTTAATTTCAGATGTGCACGATTTATCAGCTAAGCTGAAATTGATGGAATCAGGCGGTGAAACACGGGCCGAGCCTATCGTTCCCAGTGACCACATCTACTGCAACATTCACATGGGCAAAGATGCTCTACTTGGTAAGTTTTCTACTTTTTTCCTAATCATTTAAAGAAGCTGTAATCCCAATGCAATAACACTTTATTAATATTTAATTACGTGCCCACAAACTCGGTCCATATCACCACAATATGAAATAAAGATAACGATAGACGATGGAAAGTCAACAGAAGAAATAGAAGAACTTATGTTTTGCTATAAAAAAATTAGGAGGAGATTAGAAAAAATATTCACAGGTCAATCCAAAAATACCGTATTTCTACATATAACCGCTACCCTCCTTAGTCGCGTTCTTCAATAATGAAAGTGGTGTTTGTGTTGCATATATTTCCCATTATCCCTGTCTTCGCCACGCCTTAGCGCCAGTGTGCCTAAAGCATGTCGGTTCAGTGAGCAGGGGACGTCCTCGGGGTCTCGTGCCTTCCTGTTCCGTTCACCTTCTCCAAGCTTCTCCAAGTAATCGGGCCCTCTGCCTGCTATAACTTTGAAGAAAGACTCACTCAGGGTGGTCACTTGCAATTGTCTGAGAATTGACAAGTTCGTCTTCGCTGTCTAGGGAATCCTGGATCCCACCTCGAATACCATATTTTAAGGATCTATCCTCCTCCTTTCGGAAGCTCGCACAGTCCAAGTTTCAGCGCCGTATAAGATTAACACTAATACCATAACCCGAACCGATATCCACAGAACTAATACATACACTACAGAACTTATAAGAAGAAACTTTTTCGGACATCAGTCTCTTTTTTCATGACTAGACGGGTCCCTCACAATACACTGACGCCGTAGAATTCAATATATCTTTTAAATAATTATAAATACTTTTTATATAAAAATGTGGTCTACATAAGTACATTTCGTTCTAAATAAAATATCACAAGAGAAAGTGCAATAACCTACACGTTATAGCATTCCTAACGAACGATGAGGATACCAAAAAAGAAATCCTAAAAAGGAATGTTTATGTGTTACAGTCATAACTTTCTTTAAAGGCATACCTGGCTACACGTCTAGTCAGATGGACTTTTATACTTTACGGAGAAATATGGTTTGATATAAAAAAATCCTAAGAATGTTTTCTGTAAAACCATTCAAACAATTTCTTTCTTTCGTGGATGTTTATTTTTGGATCCGAGTTCGAAATTTCTTGTGGATTTTTTTATTAAATATACAACTACCCTAATAAGAGCTTATTGTCAATGCGATAGTGTTAAATTGAATTCGATAGAATCTCTTAAATAAATAACATAAAAATGTTAAAATTAGGCATACGCACTTACTATACTATGTAAATATAGTAGAGTATTTATAATGTTCTTAGCGTACATAGTAATTGTATAATAATATTAATGAATAATATTTTTAAATTTTTATTTCTCGCGTCGGCCTGACATCTTAATTTTTTTTAATGAATTTACTTCAAACCAATGTCTTTAAGCCTCGGTGTTTTAGTAATAATAATGAGAATGGATAATATTTTTTTTAATATTTCAATTTTTTTATTACTCGCGTCGTCCTCTGACAAATGAATTTTTTTAATGAATTTAGTTCAAATCAATGTCTATAAGCCTCGGTGGTGGCATGCTAGTAAAAAAATGCTTAAATAATGATATTTTATTTGGTCGGGTTCCTGCATCTTTTAAACGTTGCTATTTAGAAAACCGAGTGATAAATGTGTTTTTAGTATTGATAGCGGCTTATGTAAATTTGTTATAAATAGGGAAACAATCCTAAAACACATTTACTTAGCGTTATAACACGATATATTGAGACAATTCAAAAACTTATTTTTTCTATCCACAGACACACAAAAAACACTAAAAGCAGACAGTAATGGTCGTTAGTTGCACTTTTTGTTCGTAATTCCTAGGTCATTCAATCCCATAACAGTTTTTATAGTTTCTGAAATACTTAGCCTGATTTAAAAATGGATTATAATTTCAAGAGTTCACGAAGACTTGCAGCCGTATTTTTAATCTATTGTACAATAAAAAAGTAGAGGACAAATATTGTCACCGTACCACAGATTAGTACAGACATATATTATAATAATAAAACTAGCACATAGTAGCAGTGTTGTCCGTGTGCAACTCTCATGCGGTCGTAGGTTCGATCCCCGGCTATGCACCAATGGACTCTATATGTACGAACCTAATACTCGCCTGTACAGTGAAGAAAAACTTTCTATATAAGAAAGGCTTTCTATATAATAAAGTGATCAAAGAAACAAGCAATCTGAGGCCGAGATATAGGGTTCTAGCGCCACTGGATTATTTTATTATTAGTAACCTCTTATTTTACATTTTACTCATGTTACACACACTAACATAACTTTCCTAGAATTATACTAGGTATATTATATTAACGTGAACTTTGAATTCACGACGGGGTAAACAAACTGAAAACTCAGCCATGTTAGTTCCAAGGAACATACATATTGGCCTATTTATTTCATATCCGTTCTAATTTAAGATGATTTATTGAACGATCCGATAACTGATGAAGAACATTGTTGGGTAGTACTATATTATTAATTGTGGTGGCCATAATATATATTCATTAATTTATATATTAAGAAGATACATGCAAGCTTTGAAACTAAAATGGCATGGCTGGACAAGATACCTGGAGGAGATTATTGACCCCCCCACGTAACGCGCCGTAACGTTATTCTGTACCCGAGTATAGTAAAACGTTCCGTGACCACCTAGTGACTCTTTATACATAAAAGTTACCATTATGTGGTGTAAAGTACTGGAAAGTCGAAAATAATATAACAATAACGCGTAATTCAATCCCCGCCCCGCATCGTAACGTTTTACAAAAGGACCCCCCCAAATTCGTTACGTAATACTTGAACGCTCCCTAAGATACATCTTCTTCCTCAACAAAAATCCCACGAAATCTAGTTTTTAATCCGTCAAAAAAAAAATTGTTTTCTACTACATATTATTACATTCCTTTTCTTTCTTATTTCGCGACTAAGGCGCAAACTATCTGCTATGGTCTCTGGCAGAATGACCAGCGCTGTGGAACATTCTTCTCCTCAGCATAATGCTGAGCCAATTACAACCACAGCACACACGCATTACACACTTGTAACGAACCGAATCGGAAAGGGGACTTTTTTTTATTGTTTTTGATATCTCTCATTATTTTATTTTTTTCTTTTGTTAGTAATAAATTGTCTATGTATATATATATGTCTACTTAACATCAGGTGAGCCTCATGCCCGTTTGCCTCCTATTACATAAAAAAACACTAGAAATAGCAGTAAAAGACTGGCAGACAAAACATACAGTCATCTGGAAAGGGTTTGATTTTTGGGTTCCATATTCCAAGAGGGACAATATCCACAGACGACTAACATTTAGCTAAATACTAACTCAAACTCAAAATAACTTTATTCATATAGGTAAACAAGTACACTTATGAACGTCAGAAAAGAAGTATTAGTGATATTTAATGTAGTTACAATCAAGTATACAATATTAACAATTTTCTTAACCTACAAAGTAATAATAAAAATAAGTTATGGATATGGAAATAAAAAAGGCTTTATTATTAATTTATATTCAGGGTTTGCAAGGCATTTTAAGAGAGGCACGGAAGATAATTCAACCTAAGGGTCTGGAACCGGTCCAACAACTTCGTCCTACCTATTTTAAGACGTTTCTAGGACTTCAATCCTTGATATTGAACAAGTTTTGTAATTTAATGAGAAATTTAATAATTATCGCAATACAGCGAGGAAATGCTGCCAGCATTAAAAGTACACTGCCACACGGACCAAACTTTTTATTTATTTCGTAATCATAAAGCTAACAAAATTATATGTAAAACAAACAATTACACTAAAAATATAGCCAAAGATGGAATACACTAGGACGCCGCAGTGCAATTGTACTTCGCTTCAGCACAAATTTGAGCGGAGCGGAGTGTTCAACTTAATTTTTAATGATGAGTTAAAATACATAGATTCAAAACATTTAATTTAAGGATTTGATTTTGTTGAAAGGACTTTTTAGTTAGGTCTCCTTCGAAGTTGTTTTTCCGCTTATTTTGTGATTTATTCGTAAATATTATTGTGTTTTTATTTCAAAATCGGTTAAGCCGTTAAAAAGCCTTAGTGTTTGTACAGTGTCATAAGAGTGGGCGCATGGGAGCTCAATAATACATATTTACCAAAAGGTTCAAACAAAAGGGAAAAAAACAGTAAAACATATTCAATACATTTAACTAAGTAATACCTAATTTGGCTGTGATGTGTGAGTAAAAGTGAGGGTGTGTTTAATTTGTTTTAATTTTCTATTTTATTATTATTATATATGAAGGTTAGGAATATTATAAATACTATACATGTGTGTGTTGGAAATAAATTATAATTATTTAAGAAAGCTATATGAAATTTATCAGTATGTTACGGTACTTATAATTATGATTATGCGTTTAATATACACACTAGTTCGCTTCCGGCGTTATATGAGTAGAGTAGGCACGTGGGTTCATTTATTTATGCTCACGACTTTGCGATATTCTTGATAAAAGCTATAATGATAGAATTTTGTTTAGAATACAGTGTTTTATTACGACCACCCCGAAAGTGATAAGGATAATTTGACAGGTATTATCGTAAAAATATTTGTTATTATCTGTATGAATACAGCTTGAGTTTTGTCAATTAGGTAAAACTTAATAATAAGGCGAGTGCTTACAACTGTTGTTTTTGATAACTGTCAATGTGCTGAACTGTCAAATTTTGTAAAGCGCAATGTCAACTGTAGCAGTTTTTTAACTGACGCATAAATAATCGCGCCCAATTGTAAAATTTCTTCTTCGGGGTTTTTTAGTGTACAAAAAAGGTTACATTGATAAGACTCTTCAACATTTAATCTCACTTGAGACATTTAACGTCGATAAAAAATTATCATTTACGACTGCGTAATTGTTAGGCTCCTGTCGACTTCGTAATAAAACCTTAACATTAACAATTATTCATAAAACACAAATAAATTTTCACCAGCACAGTTTTATCTAAAGTACCTACTGTATTTCTCTTTTCATCACAGCGTAAACACAATTTGTCAGATAGAGACACAATAAATTTATAGTGCAATTAGATTTTTATAAATAAGTACAGTCTCGATACAGTTAATAGTAATAGTAATTTGTAATGCAAGCATTGCCACCGAGCACTTCCGCTGTTGAGGTTTTCACTCGGCCCGCCGGGAAGACTCTTCCTGCTCCTCGAATTTTGACCACTATAAAATATAAATATCGATCCTAAATTGGTTAGGTCGTTGAACTGTTTATTTATATAGATCCAGTGAATTCCCGCGTAAATAGACAGAATATAGAAGGGTTTTGTTGACAACAGTAATGTTCGAATTAATATTAGTGTTTACTAGCTGGCCTGGCGAACATCGTACCGCCTAACAGTCGATACTTTATTTTTTTTAAATACTTATTCTGCTATTCGGG